AAGTTTTTTATGGTGACTGTTTTTTATGTTGTTGTTGTTTTTTCTTTAATTCAAATACTATGTATTTTATTTGTCTTAACTGACCTTTCACATTTTATGGAAATTGTTTTTTTTTTTTTTTTTTTTTTTTCAAAACTCATGCCATTGACTTTTGTTTTAAGTGGCCGGTCAAGTTGTATTCGTAGTGATTGTCATCGAAAAATGTTTAAAATACAATCGATTTTGTATTGTTTTGTTTAATTTTGTTTAACTAACGAGTTATAGATGTTGACATTTTTTCAAACAAATCATATTTTCACTTTATGCAGGCAGCGGAGATTTTGAATATGACAAATATTTTGGGAGTTATAGATCAATATTTTTTAATTTTAATGAAAATACACTTAAATTGTCTTTAAATATAAAATTTCCCTTAAAGGGAAATTTTTAAAATATAAGGAAAATTTCTATATTTTTGTAAAATTTAGCTTATTAATTAAATTTTAACAAAATTATACAGAAATTAATATAAATTTTTCAAAAACTAAAATTTTCCTTAAAGGGAAAAAATATGGAGAATTTCTAAACTAGTTTTAAATTTTTCTTATTTAATTAATTTGAAGTAAAATTATGAAAAAATAATAAAATTTCCCTTAAGGGAAATTTTTAAAATATTAGTAATATTTCTAAATTTTTGTAAAATTTCTCTTATAAACTATATTGAAACAAAATTATGGAAAAATTAATAAAATTTCCTCAAAAACTTAAATTTCCTTTAAAGGGGAATTTTTTAAAAATAAAGGAAATTTTTAAATTGGTATAAAATTTCTTTTATAAACTAAATTGAAACAAAATTATGGAAAATAAATAAAATTTTCTCAAAAACTAAAATTTCCCTTAAAGGGAAATTGTTAAAATATAAGGGAAATTTCTAAATTTTTGCAAAATTTCTTTTATAAACTAAATTGAAACAAAATTATGGAAAAATTAATAAAATTTTCTCAAAAACTAAAATTTCCCTTAAAGGAAAATTTTTAAAATATAAGGGAAATTTCTAAATTTTTGCAAAATTTCTCATATAAACTAAATTGAAACAAAATTATGGAAAAATTAATAAAATTTTCTCGAAAACTAAAATTTCCTTTAAAGGGAAATTTTTTAAAAAGAAGGGAAATTTCTAAATTGGTTTATAATTTATCTTATTAATTAAATTTAAACAAAATTATGGAAAAATTAATAAAATTGTCTGTAAAACTAAAATTTCCTTTTAGGGAAATTTTTTAAAAAGAAGGGAAATTTCTAAATTTGTGTAAAATTTATCTTATTAATTAAATTTAAACAAAATTATAGAAAAATTAATAAAATTTTCTCAAAAACTAAAATTTTCCTTAAGGGGAAATTTTTGAAAAAGAAGGGAAATTTCTAAATTGGTGAAAAATTTATCTTATTAATTAAATTTAAACAAAATTATGGAAAAATTAATATAAATTTTTCGAAAACCAAAAATTCCCTTAAAGGGACATTTTTAAAAAAGAAGGGAAATTTCTAAATTCTTATAAAATATGTAAATGAAACTTTCAAAAATTGTTGATATTTAAATAATAACAATATTAAAGAAAGTTATTAAAAATTTACCAAAATATAAAAATTCCCTCTAAGGAAAATTTACTTATACAAAGGAAATTTTCAAAATTTCGTATTTTTTATATATATTTTCAAGTTAAAATACAATTTATGACAAATTGTTAAATTGAATTATCCCTCTTAGGAAAATTTCCAAAATTTTATAAAAATTATTTAAAAAAAACTTAAAAATAAGATTTTCCAATTAAAATTTCTAACATTTTATTTAATTTCAATGTTTTATTTAAATCTAAATAAATTACTAAGGGCCAATATCGCAACCTCCGATTATCGTTTAACAGGTGGATATATTGCCGGTTAAAATAATTTTTGTATGTAAAATGTCAATTTATCGTTATGATAAAACATAATCAGACAATGAGAAAACTTTTTGAACTTTTATAAAGATTAATTTTTAAATTAATAACAAACTCTCGAGCAAAATTATTGCATAACATTAAAACAAGTTCGTTTTCTAAGTCTTTTGATTTTTCATGAATATTCATGGTAAATTAAAGACTTAATGTTAATATTAATTTCATTTACATAAATATTTAAATAAAACACCACAAAAACAAACAAAATAAATGACTATATCCAAGAAATTGTTACATAAGAAAGTAAAAACTGTATGCAAAATAACTGTGACTTCCTTTCACACTGTAAACTCCATGAAATGCTAAATAATTCCCATGAATTTCATAATAAATAAACCAACGTCTCCAACAACTAGAAAAGAGAAAAAAAAACAAAAACACTTACCTTTTCAACCTAAATACAGCAAGAACTACAATATTTACTATGAGTAAAAATTAAATGAATGAATGAAATAAATAAAAACCAGACATAATATGACTAACGTGTCATGTTTAACATTAAATTGTTGTTGTTGTTGTTGTAGTGGCAGTAGCAAACTTTAGAAGTTGTTAACAAGGCCACTGTTCGAAATAAAAGCCAACAACAAAGTTAGTTCTATCCCAGCAGCCACAACAAATTGTCTGGCGAGGTTCTTGCAAACAAATTGTCTTTTAAACTCACATACACAGATACTCACAACAACAACAAAATTACTAAAATAAATAAACTATAAACACGTGAGCTGATTAGAAGCAGGAACAACAAAAAGAACGTTAAAGTAAAAAAGAATAAATGGAATAGCTGTAGCAGCAGCAGCAGCAGACGTAGTAGTGCTGTTAGTAATTTGTTGCTGTTGTTTTTTATTGCTGCTGCTGCATTATTGTTCTTTGGGTTAATAGCACACTTGTCTTGTCCAATAACTTTAGCACATGGTAAAAGATGTTTTATGACTGTATTTAAAAAAAAGTCTAGAGTCAATGTTGTCTCTCCATAAAATAAAAAAACGAAAAACTTTAAAAAGAAGTCTAAAATCATAATAAACTATAAAGTTTAAGAGAATAATTTGCTAGTTTTAAAATTTATGAATTAAGAGAGGCAATGAGTGTGTTTAAAAGTTAGAGAGTGTTAAGATAAGATGTTGTGATGATTTATTTGTAAACGAGTTGCCAGTTAACGGGGAAATGTTTTAGTTGAAAGTGGTAATGTTTTGTGTAAACAATTCACAAGTGTTGCAAACAAACTTAGATATTGTGAATGAACAGTTTAGAGAACCAAGCAATTTTTTCCTCGTTTTTAAACTAAAATGGGAAGAGAATGGAACATAATATTATTATTGGAAAACATTATTGAACTTGTAAACAATTTCCAGTTATTAGGATAGAATAAACACCAACTATTATGAATGAACAGTTCTCGAAACATTCACGATATAAAATATAGCTGGGATACAACATTTATACGATGACATCGTCCAAAGATCTTTGGATCGACAACCGTAGTCTCTATATACAACTCTCTCACTCACAATAATAGAAACCAAGTTTTTTATCACTTTAAACACTTAATTCTCTATCATTCGAGATACCTCGTCATAAAAATTGAAATCTCTTTACCTTTTATGTATCCAGATAAGTTCGAGGATCGAATAAACCGATGTTTAATTTTACTTATTCATTACACATATATAAAAGCTCAATGTTGTAAAAATATAGTGAGAAAGATTGCTTAGTCAGTTTTAAACAAAAACCAGTAGTTATAGATTAGCAAGAAAAGCTGAACCCATTGTAGAACCCACGAGCAAGAATAGATCCCTTAAACGACACTTGAAATTTCCAAATAAAACCAACCAGTTTCTCTGATAATGAGATGAATGGATGGATCAACATACATATATAAAAGCTCAGAGTTTTGAAAAGTTAGAGAGAGATTGCTTAGTTAGTTTTAATCAAAAAAACAGTTGAAAGTTGTTATCGATTTGCAGTAAAAACTAAACCTTCTAGGTAGAAGGGATCAACAGTTGATACTTCTAAATTAAGGCAACCAGATTCTGCGACAATGATATGGATGGATTTGAGATATATTCTGAACAACTTCTTCGAACCTACAAGGAGTAAAGCTTTATAAATCCCTTTAAAAGGATTTGATTTTCTCCTTTAACGTAGGTATCTTGGGCAATAAAGATATATCGACATATCCCAGAAACGCTAATTATGTGTCAACTGGATTAACTTGAAGCTTCAAGAAATAAAGCTTCAAGCTCCAAAACGGTTTTGATCTTTCCCCTTTAATGTGTTTGTCTTGGCCAATTCATCAGCTATACAATTATTATTATCGAAACCCATAATTGATATATCCTAGAATGTAGCATTGTAATCATTCCCTCATATCTCTTGCGAATCTATAACGGGCGCCAAAAGACGATTTTTTCTATTCTTTTTTTAAAGCAGCTTTTTTAGAAATTGAAATATATGTCTCTTTCTCTCATTGAATTAGTTACTGATCCATCATTATATCTCATAAAAACCAAAGTCTCTCGATCTCTTAGTTATAGTAGCAATATACAGTTAAGTTCAGTCAATAACATTTAATCTGCTCTTTGTTCAATCTTGATGCATGTCTTAGGATTCTTTTGAAGAGATCGTTCTCTCCAAATAGATTAGAAAAGATAAACAACAAACAACAAAACCTTGATACGTGTTTATTTTTGTTTAAATGTGCAGGAATCCTTCAAAATTATTTCTATTTCGGCGATAGACTATCGAACACTTGGTTCCAATAACTTATCAGAAGGAATTTGCAATCAAACTTGAACTTTTTAACACCTCTAACTACTCTTAATGACAAATAAAAGATCTTTTTGGAGATTTTGCTTACTTTCAATAAGTCTTTGAAAATAACTTACAATCTGGCATCTCGCGCCTCATTATTACTATGATTTTATGAGTGTTTGTATGTATATTTAGAAAACTGTCAAGTTAACAGCTTTCTTTTAGCCACAGCTAATAAACCAAGCAACTAACAACATTCACTTGTAACCAAGACTTGTTCGAAGCATCTACTTTAAGTTTAAAATAACGCAGAAAAATAATAAAATCAAAAGAAAAACGAAAGATACATTTAAAATTATAAAAAAAGAAAAGAAAAACAACAGTAACAACAATAATAATAAAAATAATAAAAAAAGAAAAACAACTTTATAGAGTGAAACTTTTTTTCTCAGTTGATTTGTTTTCAAAAAAAAAATTAAAAATTATTATAAAAATTAAAAAAATTTAAGTAATGGCTCACATTAAATATTATAAAAAAAGGTTAAAATTTTAAACAATTATCTTTCAAAAATGTTAAATAAATTATTGATTAATAAGTTTTCTTTTCTCTTTCTCATTACAGTTAAAAAAATTGTGTGTGCATTTTATTTATGTTCATCCAAAACTTCGGACGTTACGGTATAAATTAAGGATCTTTAAAACTATCTCCCTATCTACTTTTTTTCACACACCCCCCTCTTAAAACCACAACACACATACACACACAATGGGACGACAACATAGGCATAGATCAAATTGGCTGGCGTTATTTTGTTTAGTGTTAACCCTAAAAGTGAGTATTTTACAAAAAATCTTATTCATATGTTTAGCCGAAAGAAAATAAATATTTAAAAAGTGAAATTTATTTATAATTTAAAATTTTTTTGTATGTAAACAAACAAAAGTAACTGTTTTTAAACATTTTTTTATTTTTATTACTAACCCATTTCATTTGTTTCGAGAAAAAAAAAATATTAAACAAAAATCTAACATTTATTTAAATGCAAATTTATTGAATGTTTTTTTTTTCTCTAACAATACGGTTTATAAGAGAAAGAGTTTAAAGCAGATGGAGAAGAAAAAAAAACTATAAACTATAGTAATTCAAATAAATTCCCTCATTCATTGATGTGTTTGAATTCATACATACATAGATTATGTATCTATTGGATATGCTTTACATACATATATAATATTTATATAGATTTGTTTACATATTTATACACTAAGAAAAATTTTTTTAAAAATTACAGTTCGTACCCAAGTTTAAGTTACACAGATCATGCAAGGAAAAATCAGTACTTTATTTATTTTAACACCAAAAAACACCGCAGTACCCCCAGGACATACATATTAAGTACTTTTTATTTCATAAATTTTTGCTAATTATCCCATATAAGAGTCAATAGATAAGTTCATAGACTAATCAATAGTCAATATATAGTTAATCAAGTCAATAGACAGTCACATCCGATGACTAGTCCACAGACTATCATATAAACTAGTCCGTAGTCCATAGTAGTATAGACTAGTTTATAGTCTAGTACATTGAGAAGTCAACTGAGCAGAACAAATACTAGTCAATAGACTAGTATATAGACTAGTTTATAGACTAATTTATAGTCAGTAGACTAGTCCATAGACTAGCATATTAGCTATTCTATAGTCTAATCCATACTCTAGCTCATATACTAGTCAATAGACTAGTTTATAGACTAGTCAATATATTATTTTATAGACTAGTCAATAGACTACTTTATAGACTAGTCAATAGACTACTTTATAGACTAGTCAATAGACTAGTTTATAGTCTAGTTCATCTAGTTCTAGAAGAGAATTGACCAGACCAAATACTAGTCAATAAACTAATAATCAGACTTGTCCATAAACTAGTCTATAGACTAGTCCATAGACTTTATAGTAGTCTTTGACTTTGAGTAGTCCATATATTAGACTAGTCCATAGTCTTGTCAGAAGTCAATACTCCAGTTCATAGACTAGATAGCACTAGTCCATAGATTAGTTAATAGACCAGTCTATTAACAAGTCACTTGACCAGTCCAAATACTAGTCATCAGACTTGTCCATAAACTTGGCAATACTCTACTTCATTGACTAATCGAAGACTAGTAAAAGCAGCAACAAAAAGGTTTTCCCAAGAGGAATCATAAAAAGAGTTAGTTTTCCGCCCATCTGGTGAGTAACTTAAGTACTTTTGTTATCGGTCCTTATCTTTAAAATGTTTTCCATTTACTATTCTCTTTTTTCTTAATGAAAACTTTAAACTGTATATTCTACTTGATTGAGCAATCAAAGACTGGTAAAGACAATAATATAAAGGGTTTTCTTTCCAAAAGGAATCATACGAAGAGTTAGTTCTCCCCCCTTTGGTGTGTAACTAAAGTACTTTTGTTATCGGTCCTAATCTTTAGAATGTTTTGCATTTACTGTTCGCTTTAATTCTTAATGAAAACTTTAAACTGTCTTTTATAGTCTAGTTCATTGAGAAGTCAATTGAACAGACCAAATACTAGTCAATAAAGTAATCATAACACTTGTCCATAAATTAGCCCATAGACTTTACTACATTGAGTAGTCTCTAGTCTTGTCTATTCAGAAGTCAATACTCCAGTTCATAGACTAGTTAACAGACGAGTTTATAGACTAGTCCATAGATTAGTTAATAGTCCAGTACATTAACAGGTTAATTGACCAGTCCAAATACTAGTCATCAGACTTGTACATAAACTAGTCAATACTCTACTTCATTGAGCAATCAAAGACTGTTATAGGCAGCAATAGGAATCATAAAAAGAATTAGTTCACCCCCATCTGGTGAGTAACTTGAGTACTTCTGTTATCGGTCCTAATCTTTAGAATGTTGCCCATTAACTGTTCACTTTTATTCTTAATGACAATTTTAAAATGCTCTCGGTAAATTCGACGATCGAATAAACTGTCTTTTAATGATGTTTAACGTTATCTCCAATCACAATTTTATGTTTATATTCACCATATATAGAAGCTCAATGTTATGAAAAGCTAGAGAAAGTTCCTAGTTTTTATACAAAAAAGTAAGTTGAAAGAAGTTTTTGATGAAAAACTGAAACCATTGTAGAACCCATGTCATTTAATCCACACTTGATACTTCCAACTTAAACCAACCAGATTCCCTGATAATGGTATGAATGTTTCTAGTTTATATTCTTTTCATAACTATATGGAGATAAGCTCAATTCTTTTCATAAAAGAATCCATAAAACAATTGACTTGTTCTCCCTAATAGTATTAATCTACTCCATTTAATGATACTTTCTTGAACAAACCCATCAGCTATACAGTTATCATGACTAAAGGTCCATATTTGAGATATACTAAAATGTTTCATTATAATCTTCCTTCGGAATGACGGAATAACACTTTTTTCAAAAATTTTCCCGGATTACTGAAGCAAAATCTCCTTATACTATAAAAAACAATATTTTTTTCCTTTCGCAGTGAACTTTTCTTCAAGTGTAACTAACATTTTTATAGACTCGTCTAATAAAACGGCACATATTATACTCGAACAATATTCTTTTTAAAAGTAGACGCACAAAAATAGTTAGAATAAGAAATTAAAATACATTTAGAGAAACATACATAAACAACAAATGAAAATCAGTTTTAAATCAAAAACATACTATTTCTAATGATAATCGGTGAAAAAATAATGATAAACATGAGATGAATTGCGAAGATGAGAAAAATGACTGAAGAAAGAAAAAAAGACTGTTCGACATTCAGCATTGACCGTTACGCATGCATTTGCAACTTCCAACGTATGTTTATTCCAGCACATGTAGTCTAAACGTTGGCATTTACAACCGTTTCAAAGCTGTAGTTGAAATAACAAAAAAATAGAGTGAGTATTGTTGCTGGTCTTGGTTAGCTATGTAAGACTAAAAGTAGTTGGAAAATACATATGTATTGAACATTTGATTTGATTTTTGAATTCACAGTTGACTGCATAATTATTTATTTTTGGAGGAACAATTTTTCAACAGTTTTATAAATAGATATTTTGGAGTTTTTTTAAACATATTCGGGTTATAGTTATCTTTAAGTTAAAAGGCTTTGTCTAGTCTATAAATTTATCTGGAACTTAAGGTTCCAAGTTTCAAAGTCTAAAAAATTACGATTTTTTTTCATTCCTCGAAAAAAGTTAAAGTCTTCCTCAGAACACTTTGAACCTCTGTCAACGAACTTTAACTCCGCAAAGGTTCCAAGTTTCAAAGTCTAAAAAATTACGATTTTTTTCATTCCTCGGAAAAAGTTAAAGTTTTCCTCCGAACACTTTGACGACTTCAATCTTCGTGGTCCATCAATGGTGACCAGAAAGAGAGCTATTTCATGGAGACTAAATAACACCTGCTTTGCTATAAACCCAAATTTCACGAAGGCTTTATATAAAATGTATTGATCTGTGTAGAATACAACTTCGTAATCCATGTCTCTCATGTTTAGGAAGTCAAGAAAATCAAGTATTCTTCCCTACATGAGAGTTATATTTCTCTGAATTTATATTTTAATTAGGGTTCTATAAATCGACTTTCGAATAACCGAACAATCGACTTTTTGTCGAAAAATGTCGAAGTCGACTATTTTGTTCCAAAAAAGTCGATAACTGGACTATCGTCTGTGAAAGAAGTCGAAAAGTCTGAAAGTCGATAAGTCGAAAAGTCGTAAAAAGTCGTAAAAAGTCGTAAAAAGTCGAAAAGTCGGAAAAAGTCGAAAACTCGATAATTGTAGAAAAAGTCAAAAATTGTCGAAATTTTTAAAAAAGTAGAAAAAAATGTCAAAAAATCTAAAATAGTCGTAAAAAAGTCGAAAAGTCGAAAAAAATCGAAAAGTCGGAATAAGTCGAAAATAGTCCAAAAGTCGAAAAGTCGACTATTTATAAAATACTTATAGTCGAAAAGTCTAAAAGTCGACTTTTAATTAAATGAAAAAAGTCGTTTCAACTATAGAACCGTAATTTTAATACAAATTGAATTCTCAGGAAAAATGTTAGAATTTGTCCTAAATTAACCAGAGTTTTAGAAGGGGTGCAAACTAGTGCTGTAATATTCTACTACTTTTGATTACTCAATACTACTCAATACTTTTCGTTTGGGTACTCAATACTTCTCGATACTTTTAACGGTTTTATTTTAAATTAAAAACGAGGAATTTTTCCTTTTTTTTAAGTAAAGTTAGACCAAACATCACACCTCTTTTGAGACATTTTATTTTTTTTAGGTTGCGTCAATAAATATTTGTTACTTTTTAACTATTATTGCAGTTTTTAAATTATTTTTACATTGATTTGATATTGCTAAGAGTTGCATTTCTAATAATGATATGATCTGTATTAGTTGTAGAGCTGTATTTTTTCACATCGTAGCCGTTAAATTTAAATAAGTTAATTCCATATACAAGTCTGAAAGTATTGAGTAACTACTTTTTAGTATTGAGTACCCAAAAAAAATAGAGCAAATACTCGATACCCGCTACTCAATACTTTAACAGCACTAGTGCAGGCAGAAACACTCCAGATTCTAGAACAGCAACTTTGGAACTTGCAATGTTGCCATTACTTCTGTGGGACATTGTTGTGATTCCAAAGTATTTCTATAAAGTTTTCAAGGACTGTTCTAAGGAAGATAGAGAAGCTTGTTCTCTAAATATTCCCTACAACTAGTTCCGAGAATGACAAATTTGAAAAAACTGGTTCCAGAACTATTCCACATAATGATTGTCGACTTCAAAACCTTTCCATAGCACCAGTACCGAAGGCAACAATTTTGATTCGAAATCACAGGACTCAAGACCAAAATAGAAGGAAAACAGGCGTTCTAAAACTAGTTGTGCAACTGATAGATTTGCAGCAATATTTTCTTAATATTTTTTAAATTGCCGACAAAACACTCATGACTTAAAAGCAAAAATTGCATTATTTCCTTTAAAAATGTTAAATATCGTGTTTTTTTGCAGTATTCGCATTAATTTAAGAAAACAATTTCTTTTTTTTTTTTTAATTTCCTACAAATCCATCAAAAAATAGTGAAAACTAAGACATCAAACTCAAACGAAAAAAACACCTACTTCACAAATAATACTGCACCGCAAATGAAGACAAATTTTCAATTTTTGTTTTTTCAAAATTATTGAACCAAATTCTGTAATTAGTTGTTTATTATAACGATCACATGTTGGCAACAAGTTTAGTTTTTAAGCAAATTATAGTTGAAATATTTATTAAAGCTATAACTAGCAGCAATTATTAATGAAAATTTTGCTAAAATTTTACCAATAAAAAAATGCTTGAGGAGGTGTTTGTGTTATTGTTGCAGTTGTTGTTTTAATTCAAGTATGAATTATAGCTTGTTGCAGCTACGGATAGTTTTCATTTTTTTTGTTATACATATAAACTACAAGATACGAATATGCATTTCTTTATAAAATTATTTTATTTTTGTATTTGTAGTTTTTTATTCATTAATCTTAATTTTTTCATACATTTGGCATGCTCTAACAAACAACTCTCTTGTTTTTTGTTGCTATTTTTTGGGTTTTTTCTGTTTTTGTTTTGTAAATTATTATTATTGTTATTATTGTTGTTTAATACTCGTATGAATTTAGCGAAAATGCAGTTATGCTCTGATTTGTACCAGTTTCAACTTTCTTTCATTCACTTTATAATAAATAAATATATCTCAGTTTTTGTTTTCTACTTCAATCTTATGTTTATTTATTTCTTTACGCAGTTTTTCTTCTATCTGCTTATGCACATACATACGATTAAATTATGATATTAAATATTTTGATAAAACTAAAAATGCAATATTGTGTTAATTGTGTTTAAATTATTGTAGAATTTAACACAAGAATATAATTTAATTGAAACTGAAATTTTAAAACAAATTTCTTATAATAAAACAAATTGGATCAAATAATTTTGTAAGAAATAATCTGTAATTCATGGAGATAACCCAATTTTAAAACTACATATTCAGCCATATTCTAGATATTGATTACGTTTCTGCATTCAGTTCCGCAACGATCAAAAAAAAAAAGGATTCCCACAAAAATCGGAATCGTAAGAAAAAGAGAAAAACAATTCCATTTCATTTAAATGTTTTACGAGAGAAGAAGACTCTAGTCTAGAGTCTTGTTTAGGGTCTTGTGTACAGTCTAGTTTAGAGTCTAGTCTATAGCGTAGTTTAGAGTCTAGTCTAAAGTGTAGTCTAGTCTACAGTCCAGTCTAGGATCTAGTCTAGAGTCTACTCTAGAGTCTAGTCTAGAGTATAGTCTAGTGTCTAGTCTAGAATATAGTCTAGTGTCTAGTCTAGAGTATAGTCTAGAGTATAGTCTAGAGTCTAGACTAGAGTCTAGTCTAGAGTCTAGTCTAGAGTCTAGTCTAGAGTCTAGTCTAGAGTCTAGTCTAGAGTCTAGTCTAGAGTCTAGTTTACAGTCTAGTTTACAGTCTAGTTTACAGTCCAGTTTACAGTCTAGTTTACAGTCTAGTTTACAGTCTAGTTTACAGTCTAGTTTACAGTCTAGTTTACAGTCTAGTTTAGAGTCTAGTCTAGAGTCTAGTTTAGAGTCTATTTTAGCCTAGAGTGTAGTCTAGACTAGACTCCAGTCTAGAGTCTATAGTAAAGTCTATACTCCTGTCAATAGTCCAATTAATAGTCCAGTCTATAGTCTAGAATAGTCCAGTCTATAGTCCAGCCCATAGTCTAGTCTGTAGTTCAGTCTACAGTCTAGTCTGTAGTCTAGTCTATAGTCCCGACTATAGTCCAGTCTATAGTCCAGTCCATAGTCTAGTCTATAGACTAGTCTATAGTCTAGTCTATAATCCAGTTCATAGTCTAGTCTATACACTAGTCTATAGTTATTCTACAGTCTACAGTCTAATCTATAGTTTAATCTATAGTCCAGACTATAGACAGTCTATAGTCCAGTCCATAGTCTAGTCTATAGTCTAGCCTATAGTCTAGTCTACAGCCTAGTCTACAATCTAGTCTATAGTCTAGTCTAAAGTCCAGACTATAGTCCAGTCTATAGTCCAGTCCATAGTATAGTCTATAGTCTAGCCTTTAGTTTAGTCTACATTCTAGTCTACAATCTAACCTATAGTCTGGTCTATAGTCCAGTCCATTGTCTAGTCTATAGTTATTCTACAGTCTAGTCTACAGTCTAATCTATAGTCCAGCCTATAGTCCAGACTATAGTCAGTCTATAGTCCAGTCCATAGTTTAGTCTATAGTCTAGCCTATGGTTAAGTCTACTGCCTAGTCTATAGTCTAGTCTAAAGTACAGACTATAGTCTAGTCTATAGACTAGTCTATAGTCTATGCTATAGTTTAGTCTACAGTCTAGTGTACTTTTTAGTCTAGAGTTTAGTCTACAGTATAATCTATAGTCTAGTTTATAGTCTAGCCTGTAGTCTAGTCTATAGTCTAGTCTATAGTCTAGATTGTAGTCCAGTCTGTAGTCCACTGGACTACAATCTAGTTTATAGTTTAGTCTACAGTCTAGTCTACTTTCTAGCCTAGAGTTTAGTCTACAGTATAATCTATAGTCTAGTTTATAGTCTAGTCTATAGTCAAGTCTATAGTGTAGTCTATAGTCTAGATTGTAGTCCAGTCTGTAGTCCACTTTAGAGTCCAGTATATATTCTAGTCCATAGTCCAGTCTATAGTCTAGCATATAGTCTAGTTTATAGTCTAGCCTATAGTTAAGTCTATAGTATAGTCTAAGTCTAGATTGTAGTCTAGTTTATAGCATAGTATATAATCTAGTCCATAGTCTAAAGTCCAGTCTGTAGTCACTTTAGAGTCCAGTCTATAATCTAGTCCATAGTCCAGTCTATAGTCTAGCATATACTCTAGTTTATATTCCAGTCTATAGTCTAGTTTATTATCCAACCTATAGACTAGTTTATAGTCTAGTTTATAGTTTGGTCTATAGTGTAGTGTATTCTTTAGTCCAGTCTAAAATCTATTCTGTAGTCCAGTTTAAAGTTCAGTCTATAATCTAGTCCAAAATCCAGTCTATAATCTAACCTATAGTCTATTTTACAGTCTAACCTATTGTCTAATCCATAGTTTAGTTTATAGTCAAGTCTATGTTAAATTAAAATTATACTAACTACGCGATTTCACAAATCGATTTTGTGTAAAATTATCACACAATCTTGTAATGTTGAAAAAGAAAACAATCAAACCCTAAACAATTAATTTCAATAGTAGACTATAGATAATAGATAATACCTTTTGAGCTTTTTAACAATAATTACAAAATATTTTACATAACCTTTTTCAATACTTAAGAAAACACATTTTTATAAAATTAAATATAATCAAAAAACATGTTTTATGTTTACTTTACTGGTGAATTGCACAATGGCTTGTATGACCTCATCATTGTTTACATATGTATGTTACACACTTATTCACAATAATATTTATAAAATATCAAAGATCTGTAAAAAATATTACTATAACAACAATGTCTGTTAATGTTTAACATTTTAACACAATTATTTTACAAAAAAATGGTTTAAATAGAAAAATCATTATGACGGTTATTACATAATGGCCCAACCAAGCATTAATACAGATTAACAAAGGCACGCTGTCAGATACACAGATTTACCACACATGTATCCACATTCAAAATTAGTTTTTACCTGTAATTTTGAAAATTTCAAAATTTTTACACAAAATTGATGTTTGTTTTGTTCGTTGATGTTTATGAAAAATGTTTTATTTTAATAAATTGTTTATAATGTAGGAAACCTTAATAAACATTTAATTTGGTTTAAAATTTTGTTAAATTACTTAATTTGTTTTTTGTTGTTTTTCTGGTATTTCATAATCAAATGTTACGCTAGTTTAACTTGAATAAAAATCAAAACTTTCTACAAGGTTTTCAGAATAAAATTACACAAAAATTGTCAATTTATGTTTTAACTTAAAACGATGTTAAAACTTTTAACATGGACCTTACCGGACTCTCCCTTACTTATCAGATTTACATGTTATGAGTAATTATTTCCACATATATTCTGATTATTTTCATATTCTGAATAAAAATATTCTATATAATTTAAATAATAATAAATATTTATTTCCCTCTATTCTCCTTTCTTACAGAATGCCTACTGCGAAGGACCACATGTGGATTCAGCATCTCTGCCTTTAGAACACAGATCGGTATATGGACCACCTGCGCCATCGCCAGTATATGGCTCACCACAGACAGCATTAGCGGCAGGACCTAGCAACGATATCTCAGATGAAGCCTGGCCTTTGGCGTCTACGAATGACAGTCCCCAGATCAAACACTTGCAAGTGCAGTGCGAGAAGACCCACATGCGTGTGAATATTGAATTTGATCGTCCCTTCTACGGTATGATCTTCTCGAAGGGCTTCTACAGTGATCCTCATTGTGTGCACTTGAAACCCGGTACCGGTCATTTAAGTGCTACTTTTGAAATATTCCTTAACAGTTGTGGCATGACTAGCTCGGCGAATCATAATGCTGCTGGTTATGGTGCTCCCACACCATCGGGTAGTTATGTCGAGAATACCATTATTATTCAGTACGATCCTTATGTTCAGGAAGTTTGGGATCAAGCTCGTAAATTGCGTTGTACTTGGTATGATTTCTATGAAAAGGCTGTGACTTTCCGTCCCTTCCAAGTCGATATGTTGCATGCAGTAACGGCTAATTTCTTGGGTGATAATCTCCAATGCTGGATGCAAATTCAAGTCGGTAAAGGTCCTTGGGCCTCTGAGGTTTCAGGTATTGTTAAGATTGGTCAAACTATGACCATGGTCTTGGCTATTAAGGATGATGAGAACAAATTCGATATGTTAGTGCGCAACTGTGTGGCTCATGATGGCAAACGTGCTCCTATACAATTGGTAGATCAGAATGGTTGCGTCGTTAGACCAAAGATTATGAGTAAATTCCAAAAGATAAAGAACTTTGGACCTTCTGCTTCTGTGGTTAGCTTTGCCTACTTCCAGGCCTTTAAGTTCCCCGATTCTATGAATGTTCACTTCCAATGTGTAATCCAAGTGTGTCGCTACAATTGTCCAGAACCTAAGTGCGGTCCCAGTCTAGGTGGTGCTGATTATGGTGTTCCTCAAATCGGCGGCAATGCCTTGTCTTCGGAATACGGTCCTCCTGAGGCTTATGAACGTGGAGATTTCGGTTTAGGTGGCATACCACCAGCAGCCTACCCCGATCCCAGACATCCAGCGGCCGACACCACCGGTGCCTATTCTGAAAATCAACCCGATGTTGTTCCCTCACCACAAGCCCAAACTGCTGGTGCCGAATCTGGTCCTTCCAGTTCTCAGTCGCCCGCCCAAAACATCAATGAATTGCACATGCCACCACCCCCACTACCCGGTCAACCTGGTCAATACAACACAGTTAAACGTAAAGATGATATGGAAGGTGGAAACTTAGTTTCTCTAGGTGGCCGTCCTCGTTCCGTAGAGGGTCTTGATGATTTGCGTGGTGTGCGCAGACGTCGTGATACCATCGATATTATGGTTAAGCCTCGTATCTATAAACGTGATGCCCAAGAAATGACTGATGTCAATACGAGTCGCATTATTCAAGTCGTAGCTCCCGGTGATGTTAACTTTGCTCTTAACAGCAATGCCAACAATGAAACCGTGGTCATACAATCGGCTCGCAATGCTGATCCCGAAACGATTTGTATGTCTGTGCCCAGTTTCGTAGGTGGTCTTGTTATGCTTTTACTTGTTTTGGCTGTTGCCTCCCTAGTCGCCGCCTTCTTATTCGTACGCGTACGGCATTTCGATCGTAAAGGAGCTCCCATGGGTTATCATAACTAATAGTCCTCATAGTTAGTTGTGTTAACGCCTCAAACTCCTTTTCACATCTCAAGCCTCACTTCACCAATAAACAGTATCGATACCAATAACGAAAACGAAACGAAAGACGTTTTCTACGTTGCACATTTATCCAAATCTGTGTTTTTTCATACGTTTAACATTAATTAATTTATTTATTTATTAGCATCCACCACCCTACTCCACCTTCCGCCTTTACGTTGTTATACATTTCATTTCCGTTTAACAATCTATTTAAATCCATTTTACCTCTAATTAATAAAACCACTTAAGTAAAATCCTTTTTGTCAACTTTAAATTCATGTAAAAGGATTTCTTTGATTATTTATGTATGTTTGTAATTTATTTATTATTTAATTTATTATTATTTTTGTATTATTTATTTCCGTTCTGATTTTTTTTTTATTTATTTAAGTAAGTTTCGAAAATTTTAACGAATAAAACAAATAAAAAAACGAAATTATATAAAAATATATAAAAAAATGTGTTTTAATTAAATATAACGATTTAAAATCAATTGGTTTTGAATATCAAATGTAGAAAAACGACACATTTAGAACTCAACATAACAATTTGAAAATAATAAAACAATGTTGTGAAGGTCTAACGAAATAAAGATATATTCTATAAAAATTTGTTTACAAAATTTACCTTGAATAATGATTCAATTGTATATCTAGCCAAAAGTTTATTCATCTATTCAATTGTATTTATAAATTTACTAGCTATACCCAGTGTGCTTCGCTACCATAAAAGCAAAAAACCCACTTACACATGGGAGATGCCACTCAAATTATTGCAAGTTCGCCAATTTTTCCGAACGCAAATAAGGATTTTAATGTAAGCTATGAAAAATTTATATAATATTGTATTGTATTTAATTCATATGGGAGGGGCCAATGCCCCCATTGAAAGTCCGCCCATTTTTCTCTAAATGTTCACATGAATGACAAAGTTCTCCATGTAAAATTTGAAGATTCTAGCTTCTACAGATATACAATTTTTTTTATATATACAAATTTTTCTATATAATTCATATGGGGGTTCCAAGCCACCCCCTGATGAAAGTCCGCTTTTCCCCCAAAATGTTCAGATGAATATAAAAGTCCTTTTTGCAAAATTTTAGGAATCTAGTTCTATTAGTTTCTTAGATAAAATATTTTGTTGTATTTAATTCGTATAGGAGGTACCGGCCCCCCATAGGTAGTCCGTTTATTACCCAAAATATTTACATGGATGCTAAAGTTCTTCGTGCAAAATTTGAAGCTTTTAACTCTAACAGTTTCCAAAATAAACTAATTTGTGTATTTAATTAATATGGGAGGTGATACGCACCCCTGCTGCTAGTCCGCCCACTTTTTATCCTAACTAATCATATTGAGACTTATGTGGCTCCGACCAAATTTGAGGGCTCTAACTGTTACATTTTCCGAGATATACTGATTTAATATTTTCTTAATATGGAAGGTGCAACGCCCACTATAGTTATTCCGCCCATTTTGTCCAAAAATATTCTTATGGATGTCAAAGTTGTCGTGCAAAATTTGAGGCCTCTAATTGTACCAGTTTCCAGGATATAAGACTTTTAATAGTTATTTAATAAGTAGGCGTGGCACCTCGCCTACTTGAAATTTTAAAATAAAAAGTAGCCTATAGTTCCTTCCAGATATACAGGAAGGTACTGTTAAAATTTCAAGAAAATCGGTCCAGCCGATTAACACATTAAACACACATTCATTTTTATATATATAGATTTAACCAATATCTTATTTTGTATGGAAAGTACAAAATTGTAAATAAGTAGGGTGTTCCGATCACATTTTTTCCCCGTTACCTGAATAACCAAGATAATATCCTGATAAAACTTAGAATGTCGCCTAAGTTACACCTTGCTATATCTGCCAGTTCATCGTGGAATCTTTTACCCAGCCATTTCAGTCTCAGGCTATGTATTTTAGGACAGTTTTATAAAATATGCCCTACTGTTTCCAGTTCTTCTTCGTCTTCACACAACCTGCAAAAATCCTGTGTTACCAATCCTTTTAGGTCTATAAAGGCTGCTATTTCGCAGTGACCAGTTATTATTCCTACTAAAGTCCTTATACTCTTCCTTGTATAACCTGACTAACCTTTCCAGGTCCCCTTTGCTAGCTGCCTGACTTGTAATCGTGTCTTCCGACCCCCTAGTGTCTTAATAATATCCACCGCTTTCCATATTGCTAAAATCTCCGACTGAAAGACGCTACATTCATCTGAAAGTCTATAAGACACTTTTATGTTACCATCAAGCAGATAAACTCCTGCCCCTATGGCAGATTCCATCGTGAATCCATCAGTAAAGACGACACACCCCTTAAAGGTGTCTGTCAAATGATCAGAAATACCCTCCGTACTTCCTTCAATTCCTGTTAGACCTACCTCGTGCAGCATTCTTGTGTGGCCTACTCGCTTTGGTCTTGCTAAAGTTGATTTAAACAGTCTGAATAAGTTCCTAGCCGCTACACTCTCAACATATTTCTCAATGGTGAGCAGATTCAGAATAATATCCAATGCTGCTTACGTCATCCGTTTACCGACAGCCAGGAGGCAATTAGGGCGATATCAGGTGATAGAATTAAATTGTATTGGATTGTAAGAAAGCTTTATCTGAATACTCTTCCAGAGGTAAGGTTTACATCATATGGGTACCAGCCCCCTCGGGAGTAGTCGGTAACGAAAGGGCGAATGGCTTTAAAGGGAAGGGACCTGGAGACAGTTAACCTGACAAACGCAAAACCATTCGACGCAACAAAAGCTGAACTAAAAATATGGGCAAGAGAATCCCATAAGGCCTCTTGGAATAATGACACGGTGGGTATAACCACAAAGATCCTATGGATGACCCTGATGAGAGCAAGACGAGAAATCTGCTCAAAATGAGCAAGTCTGAAGTTAGTATGATGGTACGTATTCTGAGTGGACACACAGGATTTCGAGCACATCTACGCAAACTTGGACGTGCGGATTCAGACGAATGTAGAGCATGTGGAGAGGACAGTGAAACTCTGGAGCACTTTCTTTGCCACTGTCAGGCATTCGTCGAAGTTAGATCCAAGTATTTTGGAAGTGATGTTATTCCGGAAATAACATTCCTGACTAACACTGATTGGAAGATTCTTAGGAATTACGTCCAGGAAACTGAGTTTCTGAACATTGAAAAATAATTCATTCAGTGAACATTTTTTTCATGAAAAGGGGCGCACAAGTGTCCTAGGTGTATTTCTTCGGATTTGATGTAGTATACATACTCCTATCAACCTAACCTAACCCTAACGTCGTCCCCTAGGTAGATAGATCCGAAAATGTCGCAGAATTATTTGTATATCCGTGTATAATTTTATAACGATATCATTATAAATTCGATTAATCATTATTTACGATTCATTGATTTTCAGAAGAGGGCTTTATATGGGAGCTATAATAGAACGATTTGCAAACAAAACACATTCGAATTGTATCCCGTTATCATTATTAATTCCAGAGTTCTTTACAAAACATATTAGTGTACAACTTTTTTCGATATGGTTATTCACTAGTGAATTATGTATGTTCTTTCTATTAATTTTCAGAAGTGGACCTTATATGGAAGCTATGGTCAATTATGGGCCGGCACAGGTTTAAGTTAGTAATACGATTTTTATTGATATTAGAAAAATTTATATGCAAACTTTTTTGTTATACCGATATTCTAGAGGGAGCTATTAACAATAAATCCATTTTCCGAAAATATGTATATTTGTATGGGGGCTATATGAAATTTTTAACTGATTCAAGTAAATCTCAATTAAGATAAAATATGTGTTAAATTAGCAACTATAGTTTGAAGAAGACAAAACGTAACATTATCATTGGTTGTTTCGGAATTTTGCTCATTAATCTATTATTTATGCACAGATTTTGCTGATTTTTAATAGGAACTTCTCAAAAGCATGTCTAATAGAATTGTTGAATATTTTTTTATATTTGATATTCTTTGATATAAAACAAACAATAGTTTTCGATTGAATAATCCCAATAAACCAAAGAACGATATGATAGCGAAAACGGTATTGCTTTTAATGGGCGATTATGATATCATATTTCATTATTTAAAACGATATTATTATAATATCATTTTATATTATTTTGTTTCCAATAAAAAAATTAAGAAAATACAAACATTTGAAAAAAACTTCAAACATAAAAATAATTTCAATAAAAATTTTCGAACATAAGAGAACTAAAAAGGATATTAAAATAAAATCAACTAAATTATTGATAAATAATCCAAATAAATACGCGAATTTCGTTCGATACTTCAGTTTTGTGGTAAGTTGACATGTATGTAATTTTGAAAAGTTTCAGGTATTTGCAAGACAATGCATAATGTGATGAAAAATATGATTACTTTAAAATATGTATTAATGTATGTATGTAAATATGTACAAATGAATGCAATCCTTCCCTTTTCAGACTTTTTTATATGTATAATAGCGAAATATTAAGTTAAATAGCGTTTTAAATGAAATTTTAAGAATAAAAGAGCATACAGAAAAAAAACTGAAAAAGGCGATTTAACTATCATTATTTTTGGAAATTATGATAGCGAAAACGATATCATAATTTTATGGAAAAACGATATCATAAGGAAAGGTACCATTTAGTACGTAAATACTATCGTTCTCGATACGAGAACGACTATCACTTATGATATTTTTTATCACCTAAGTGATATCGTTATAATATCGTTTGGTTTATTGGGATTTAATAAATTGTGTATTCAGCAATTATTAAAAACTAGTTTTTTATCATCATAGTTCAGATCGAAGAATATAAATAGTAATTAGTTTACATTAATTTAAATAAAGATTTTAAATTATTACATATCTATACAATTTTTATTAACAGGGTTCACATATAAACTATACTATACTATATAATGAATCAAAAAATTTAATGAAACCGCTGAAAGGTGGAATAGATAAGGAAGGTTATTATATATCAATGAAAACTCGAAGAATTAATTCTTAAAGCTTTCTAGCTATGCTGTTGAATGATAAACCTTGTGAATCTGTTATAAATTGTATTCAAATATTTTCCAAACATTCACATAGAATTCGTTTATATAACATTGATTTTAATACTTAATTTTATATCTTTCACTATTGAGACAAAATTTAACACGAATATGTTGAGTACATACAGAAACTATTCTGCGAGATTTGTTCCGGGTCGGACCATAATTGATCAAAGCTTGCACTTTCAAAAATCACTCGAAAACAAACAATGATATCAGGATAAAATTCGAATATGTTTTATATATAAACAAATTATTCTAAAACACTTTCTCCAGATCGGTCCATTATTTGTTTATTATTGAAACTTTTAAAAATTTTAAAATTTAAATTTTTATAAATATTTAATAAATAAGTTAATAAAAACTAATTTATATGTGAAGGGTATTTAAGATTCGACATAGCCGAATATAGCACACTAACTTGTTAATTATAACAGTATTAAATTCATATGTGAATACAAATAATCTTAAGTTAACCCCCCTAATACTCCCCTAAAACAACGTATACACTAGACAATAAGCATTTTTAAATTGATAAGACAAGCTGTAGTAGTATCCACCATGATTTTGTGAAAAAAAAAAAATATTATCATTAACCAATTTGGCCAATTTGTTGATAAGATTCTGTCAAATTACTAAATAAAAACAAAGCATTGCAACAGAAATGATAAAATCTGCACAATCATCAATTTACGACAACGTTAATTACTAGTTAAAAAATACATTTATTTTTCGTTTTGTACAAATTTAAACTAAACAAAATATTATATTATTAGATTAACAAAAAAATACCCTAATAAATTTCAAATTTTTAACTATACAATTAAAACAAAAGAAAATGAACTGCACCTTAGTTAGTAGTATTTTTTAAAATGTCTACATTTTAAATCCCAGAGAATTTTTCAAATGAAAACTTTCTCCTCTTTGTTTGTTTTTCTTAAGCGTGCGGTTATTGTTCAAATGTTACGCACTACGTGCATCATTAATAGTAGCAGGAACATGCACCTCTAGACCATCTAAATCTTTACTCAAGTTAATTTGACAACCTAAACGGGAGGTGTCTGTTAATTCGTAGGCTAAATCCAACATGTCCAATTCTTCATCGCTGGGCTTATCGGGTAGTTTATTATAATCTTCAGGTTTGAATATCAAATGGCAAGTGGAACATGTCAGTGTACCTTCGCAAGCACCAAAACCATCTAAATCAATATTGTTGTTGACTATAACGTCCAGCAAAGAATCTCCCTCTTTGCCCTTAGTTTTAATCTTTTCACCATTGGCTCTAACAAACGTTACATTGATACTGATGGCAAAACGAGAGAATAAATTTTAATATTTTATTCAAATCAATTCATATCAAAATCACTTACTCTTGTTTCAGGGTCATGCCCACTGTAAAATTACGCACACTTTGTTTTTGTAGTTGTTGCCATCCTTCCGGTTTAGACAAGGCCGTTGCCACAGAACGTCGTACAAGGAAATTTGTACATTTTAAAGTTGTTTTAAAAGCCATTATTATTTATTTGATTAAAAAATCTATTGTTCGTTTTCTCGTTTAATCGCAATAGACGGGAAGGGCTATTATCTAATAATGTACACAACTTTCTATCACACAATTGTCTATCAACTACCTTAATATTATTGTAGTGGCATCCAGAAAAATTGAATAAATGAAATACTTAAATATTAACATATGAACTAGAGAGAGCGAGTGAGAGCAAACATTCTTGTATATTTCTCTCACGTGTCAACAGAAGTGTAGTAACGTGGAAAATGTAAACAGAAATGACGTAACGTAATCAATATTTTTAAAAACAGGGTGTTTCGAATATGTACATAAATGGAATCGATTACATTTATCGTTTTTATATTCACCATTATATAAGATAATTTTGTTATTCCTAAAATTTTCTCTGGTGGTATCAAAAATCTGTCCAATGTAGTCCACGATTTCATCTAGACCACATACAAGGGTTTTTTATTATGCAATCGTGAACAAATTTTTTTTAGGAAATGAAACGAGTTTGTCTACACAGGTGTATTAAGCGATTAATCAAAACAACATTTAAAAGATTACCGCAGGAGTTAGCTCTAATGTTTCGCTTGACCACCGTCTTCTATATGGGATCAATGTCTCACAGGTCCCACTAATTTATATTTCCAGCTCATATTGTCATTATATATAATCGTCCAATATGTGTTTTGTAATCGGCTTTTGTTATTTCGCCTAAAGGTAAGATTCGCTCAGTTGTGAGTGCGGCCTCGTATCTTACATACATTTCCATCGGATTAATGTCCTGTTTTGGTTGACGTAGTGCTCATGACCCCACTTACATCCAAGCAACGTGTACGCCAAACTCGCAGTAGTGTTGTAATAGCATCACCACTAGATTATAGAAGCATGTTATTTATTTCTGGCCACCACTGCTCAACAGGGTCTCATTTGAACATTCGATAGCATTAAAGTTCGGTTTAGGAGTAGTCCACCTAAATTCAGGGGTACCGAAAGTCTCCCTTCTTTCCCCTACTCTCTTTTTTATTTTCGTAAACGACCTTCTTTATCAAAATTCTAATCATATCTACTCTTTCGCCGATAACAGCAATATCTGCCATTATTATTCGTTTTTCGAGATTGGGGCAATAAGGCATAATAAACACTCTCTGACTGGGTTCGATTTCAACGCCCGTAAGACTCAGTGTTGCTTCTTGACTTACAAACGCCTGATAGATGATATTGCTCAATCAATATATATCAGTGGTGTAAATATTAAGGAATCAGAAACTCTTGACGTTAAACACATTGTTCAATTGTCGAAAGAAGCATTCAAGTGTCTCGCTTTTTTAAGACATACTTCACTTCATCTGATTTCCTCATTATTTATATCACTTATATCCGAACGAAAATGAAATATTACTCTTATATATGGGCCAGAGCTTCAAAGTCTGTTTTGGAGCTACTCGAACGCGTACAGAAGAGAGGCAATGTACTCATTGGTGTATTTCACTGTTCTATCGATATTACAATAAAATGAGTTCCTCTGATATAAGTTAATTTTCCCGATGCCCGTATATTTTTACGCAATGCACACACCCATTTGTGTTCGATTGGGCCATAAATCGCACTACACATTATAGAGAACATTCATTCCTCAGCGAAAACGTCCGTATGAGGACCCACTTTCAAAGAAAAATTATTTAAATCAAATGTCCACAAACACTACTCCATATATCCACCCTTTTCCTAGTTCCAACACAAAACAACACTTCAACAATAGTTTTCAAATTAAAATTGAAATTTGTTTTAAAGTCTTGACATAACTAACACATCTTTTTTATTACGCATTAGAGCCCATTTTATAATTTTGGAATTTATTGCCCAGTTTTAAACATTGCATTTATTTTATTAGGGCCATATTCATAACAATTTATCAAAAGTTTATAGGACTTATTTTTCTTGAGTTTCAACAATTCTTCATTCGGTTCGGATTTTATCTGAATATTCACATGATTATCCAAAAATAACGATTGCTTTTATTAAAAATATCATCCCTAAATAATCGATAAAATAACGTAGTTTTAATGCACGAGGCACATCACAATAAACATATGTTATTGTTTATTTACTATTTAAAAAATCGTAAACACATTGTTTGTAATCATGGAAAGAATTTGGAACGATTTTAATTTAAAAAAGCCACCATTTGTAACATTGCCAGCAAAACATAGCCGTTTTGGTAAGCTACTTTTTAAGAAAATTAAATTATATATTAGCTTTTTAATTAATATGTATTGTTTGCAGTAATAAAACTACATGCAGCTATAGAAAACTACTACTCTAGTCAGGCTCAATATGATGCGGAATTTAGCGAGACCGCAGCTTTGCTATCCAGACTAATGGCCAGGCGTAAAAACTCCTTCAGTAAAATGAAAGGCTTCAAAGATGTTTGCAAATTAAATGCCGCCTTGTGTCGTCTATTGCGCGTAGATTTTAAACGTGATTTAGACAGTTTTAGAAACACCTTACCTGATGTGGACTATGAGGAAGGCACTTCCATACAATTACCCACCAGAGACAGTTATAACTTTTTACTCATAAGACTAATAGCAATCTATGAGTTGCATCGACGTATAATTGAGTGTTGTGAATCAGCAGCTGACTATGTTACCTGTCAAATACGTTCGAATTTCTTTTTCGAAATTAACACTTTGCTGTTGGCAGTTTTAGCAAAAATCCATAGTTTAAGCATAAAATTATTAAATCTTGCTGTTAGTTTGTATAACAATACATTGCTCTTTAGGGAGAAACTACCAGTCAATGTTAAATCGAAATTTTTAAAAGATATACAATTTGAGTTTCCCCATAACTTGGAAGAAATCAACATATGTCCCTTAGACACCAAACAAACGTCGCTAACTGATAAAGAACAGCCACTTAAAGATTTAATACAACAAGAGGAAAAATTGGCAGTTGTTAAAGCTCAGAAATTTAAAAAGACTGATGTGGGTCAGCATGTTCAACGTGTAACGAAACTGGAGCAGAAACAATTTAATATCGAACAATTGAGTTCAGTAGAAGAAATAAAACAATTTATTGCGAAGGAAGGTAAATCGAGAAGTACAAATTTATCGAATGCTATTACAACAAAAATTCTTAGCCACGAATGGGCCGGTGCGACAAAGTTATTTGAACGTAAAGTACAAAGCGGCGAAGCAAAGAAAGCTATTAGTATATTTCGTAAGTTTTTAAGTTTAAAAATTGTGTAAAGTTAATAAAATAAAGTTTTAAGTAATTTTGAAATTGTTTTACTTAAGATATTAAAAAACTTGACATTGTGAGGAAGCATGTTGTCTGTATTACCACCATACATATTTTGTTGGATGCAATTTAAACTTGTTCTAACAAATAAAGCTTGTACTTTAGTCATTGTCAGATTTTACCAATAATCAATATTTTGAAGTCTTTATAAATTCCCCATTAATTTAAGTAAATTTATAACCTCAATCTGGAGAATTACTTTTTTTATTACATGAATGATATATAAAGAAATAATAATCGAAAAATCGATTGATTTAATGTTTAAACTTAAATTTTGTATATGCGCTTAGAGGTGTATATAAAGGATCATGTTCAGAAATAAAAACGGATAACATTTACAATTTTGTAAGAAAAATCCTTCAAAAAATTTAAGTGATTTTCATACAAAATTTTACAAATAGTTTTCTGTTCTTAAAACTTTGCAAACATGCTTAAAAATTTGCAAAAAAAAAAGAAAATTAAAAAAATCACACGAAATAAAATTACCTGTTCAACAGCTACATTTACTTCTAAATGTGAATTTGAAATTTTGCTTAAATGTATATAAATTGTAAATGGGAAAGAAAAATATTTAACGCCAACACAATCTTAACGTAAATGTAATTTAATGCCAGTGGAATTATTTTGTGAAGGGATATGATATTTCTAAAAAGAAAGGAAACAAAATAAAATATATGTTAAAGTGATATTTGAGAATAGGGTTGTTTTTCAATTTACCTTAACAAATCTTTTGAAATTTGGTACTGTATCATTTAAATTTTCTGTAGTATCATTTGATCGATTTTTAAATTTATAATGAGACTTGTCGGAATTTTTCATGGAATTATTAAGGGAGACTTGTTGTATTTCAATGGCATCCTTTAGAGATTCCAACCATTTGCGATGATCTTCAGTTATGTTGATTTCTGCACCCATTTCTGTTTTTATTTCGTCTTCAGTTTTAATAATGTTATCATTTTCATTTTCGTTGTCATTTTCACTTTTTACTAAACCGGTATTTTCCTTTTTAATATTAATTTTACCCAATGAGCTGGATATCCATTCTATAGCCGATATTTTACGCGGTAAAACTTTAGGTTTAGGCATTTGTATGGAGGGCTTCTTAGTAACAACAATAAATTGTTGTGTAGGCTCCATATCATTGCTATCTTCATCCACTTCAATAGTGCGTATGGGTTTTGCAGCTGTAGGGGCTTCCTTCTCCTTAAAGTTAAACAAATCATCTTCTCCTTCTTCGTTGTTTTCTTTGCGAGCTTTTTTCTTTTGGGTATCGCCAAAACTGAAGAGGTCATCATCATTGCCCTCATCATCATCGTTTAGAACTTGTATCAAAGGTCTTTTACGTGTTTCCTTACTGGTGGAGGGCTGCTCACCACTTTGATCGTGTATAGATTGTGTTTTATTTTTATTTTGGGTTTTCTGTAAAAATACATTAATGTTGGAGGTTTTATTTAGATTTTCCTGCATAGGTTCAGTATCCGTAGCTCTAGCTTCAATAGTTTCATCATCAACTTTTTTGTTGCAGGTTTTCTTTGATTGAAATTGAAAGAGATCGTCGTCATCACTTTCATTTAAATCAACACTCATTACTTTACGTTTTCTTTGATTTTCTTGTGGTTTATCGCTTTCTGACATATTGGCCACCACAGCAGAACCTTCTTTATTTGGGCTGGGATTTGTATTATCTGGATTAACGTATGGTGTTGAGGTTACCATATTTTCATTTGTTTCAGATATTACTAAATCCATTGATTCGGTATTTAAGCTGGGTGTGCTTTGTTCTTCGGTTAAATCAATTTTATTGGCATCTTTTACGTTTTCACTGGGAGTTAACGATGCTGCTGTATTGGGCATTTTATATGAAGGATTACAGTATGTTTTCAATGAACAGCGCAATATTGCAAATCCAATTTCATATTCTGGTATTATACGTTTGGAGTTTGATTCTAAAAAGTCTTTTAAGTGAAAGAAGATATAAACATTGAGAAAAAATGGATCTATTGAATGTTTTTTATAGAAAACTTAATGTTTTTATGGAAATCTTATCTAGTAAACAGTTTTCCGAAGAAAACTTGTTTAGTTTAATGTTTTCTTTTGAAAACATAACTATTGGAAAGTTTTTAAGAAAACTGGGACGTTAAACCGAAAGAAAAAGCTTTCAAAACTCAATGTATTTAACATAGATATTCGAATATTTTTACTTTCAAATCGGGAACAATTTCATTTCCACCATGAAAACTTACCCGCTATAGTGCTTATGGTTTGTGAACTTTGCGTTTGAGTAGAGGGAGTATATTCCACCACCACCACCTTATCCTTGATAAGGAACGCTTTCTGTACACCAGAGTTAAGATCTTTACAGGCACCACCGGCAGCCCTAACAATCGGACTGTAAGTATCAAAATGTTTGCGATTCAAGAAGACAAATGTATAACCCTTAAATAGCGTTCTTCTCTTGATATTACAACTCAAATTAATTTCATCATCATCGAAATCTGGTTTATAAAGATCCGGATTAGGAAGATGGACTTTAACACCATTGGCAGCATTAAGTAAATCTTTCCAGTAGGCGAGCGTAACAACCGGTTTTTGTTCGACAAGTGCATGCAATAGTTTCATGGTTATACAGGTATCCGTCATGGTCAAGTGTGTACACTCCGTAGACCATTCATCAAGAATCATACCACCTAGTGAAGAAATATACTTATGCAGCTGTAGACTATCGTCCCGGTTGAGGGAGGAGGTGGCCGTTTTTATGGTCATAAATTGGACTTTCCATATATTTTGTAAACGACCAAAACGTACTAAGTCATTATGCTTTACGGGTATTTTACGTCCTTTTGCCACTGCTGTATTAGTTTCTATATCTTTATTTAGGAAAGTACCATATTTGGAACCGAGATCTTCCAATTCCAATTTATACTGGTCAACTGCAGTCTCGACCAAATGGAATGCAGCATGTGCACGACTGACACATATATCATCTTGCAGCTCAACGTCTGCTCCCAAGCGTCCCACAGAGTATTTTAGTTTTTCCGGCAAAAAACATACCGATTGGTCTGTTTGATATGCGACGGAATAAAAAAAAATTAGACAAGTTTAGATATGCTTAGTTTTTCTCTACTTACCGCTTGTTGTATGAGTAATAAACCACATATTTTTAAAATTTAAAGCAAAAATTCCTTTGTTAGTAGAATAGGAAAACAAATTGTTGCGAATTTATTTTGCTTTTTTGTAATTTTGTTGCTGGAAATACAAAATTTTGCGAAAATACAAACAATTGTTGTGTGTATATCAATTACAACAACTCAAAAGTATAAAATGCAAGGGGTATTTACAAGATAACAGCAAAAACGAATGCTTACAACTTCTATTCTTTCTTTATATGGTATTTGACATTTCATCTTTCAGCCAAATGGTTTTTATATGTGTAATTTGACACTTTACTAGTCAAATATTAAATAAACATAGCCGCCTACAGCACCTTATATCAATTCATCGTGATAAAAGCCAATGGCGGCAATGCTGCCATATTTAAAAAATTATATGTGCACTAATCAAAATCGTCCACTCGCATAATTTAAATTTTATAATAAAAGCTTTAATATAAAGTAATAACAGCTCTTTTTGGCATTTATATTTTTGTAAATTTTTTTAGAAATTGTTTTCATAATGTACTTTCCATAACAGAAACTCTAATTTCTTACATTTCTTTGCAAAGAAAGGAAAATATGGCAACATCAATGAAATCGCTAGAAATCTAAAATTATATTTAAAATCGCTTAATTACCATCACAATGTGCAACTTAACAACACTTCTCAAAAGCAAAGTGTTTTCTTTTTTTCGCCGAGTTGTGTTGAAGTTTTGTAGAATTTTTGTGTAAAAATTGTGAAAAATTAACAATTTTCCAGGATGTCGGCTTCTATAGAAATACCTCTTCGTGATACAGATGAGGTAAGTAGTGGAAATTTGTAAAAAGTAAACAGCTTTCTAAATTATTATCGATATTAGGTTATAGAAGTGCATCCCGACCAGTTGCCAGAATGCCAAGAAGTCTTGAGCATTTTGAGACAAGAACGTTCCCAATTAAATACGTGGGTTAATGTGGCGGTAAGTAAACATTAGATAAATTAATTGAATTTAGTACTATTTACTAATATTGGATATATTCCTTTTGCAGTTGGCTTACTACAAACAGAACAAAACTGATGATTTCATACGTTTGCTGGAAACCGCAAAAAATGATGGAAACAAAGACTATAGAGACTATGAAAAAGATCAAATGCGTTGTTTTGACATGTTGGCTGCCCATTATGTACAGGAAGCCAATCGCGAAAAGTCCAAGGACAAGAAAAGAGAATTATTCATGAAGGCCACAAATTTGTATACTACCGCTGACAAAATTATCATGTATGACCAGAACCACTTGTTGGGCAGAGCCTACTTTTGCCTTTTGGAGGGTGATAAAATGGAACAGGCGGATGCTCAATTTAATTTTGTCTTGAATCAATCACCCTCTAATATTCCCTCTCTTTTGGGCAAAGCCTGTATTGCTTTCAATAAAAAGGATTATCGCGGTGCTTTGGCTTTTTATAAAAAAGCTTTGCGTACCAATCCCAATTGCCCCGCCAATGTTCGCATGGGTATGGGTCATTGTTTTCTGAAAATGAATAACCAGGATAAAGCTAAATTGGCTTTCCAACGTGCTTTGGAATTGGATCCCAATTGTGTGGGCGCTTTAATAGGTTTGGCTATACTAAAGCTTAATCTTCATGAGCCCGAATCAAATAAGATGGGTGTTCAAATGTTATCGAAGGCTTACACTATTGATTCAACGAGTCCTATGGTCTTAAATCATTTGGCCAATCATTTCTTCTTTAAAAAAGATTACCAGAAAGTTCAACATTTAGCCTTGCACGCTTTTCACAATACCGAAAACGAAGCTATGCGTGCTGAAAGTTGTTATCAATTGGCTAGAAGTTTTCATGCTCAGTGCGATTATGATCAAGCTTTCCAGTACTATTATCAATCGACCCAGATAGCTCCTGCTAATTTTGTGCTGCCTCATTATGGTTTGGGCCAGATGTACATATATAGAGGAGATACTGAGAATGTAAGTAGTAATTTTTAATTAGAATAACTTTCATAGGTCTCAGCTACAATCTATAAATCTCCAATGAAACGGGTCCGAAAATATTCAGATCTAGATATTAAAGACACCAGAGTACCTAGCATTGGTGTAACTGCGGGGAGCATTCTTAATAATGAGAGCCATTACGAATGCTCACCTAATTCTAATTTAAGAATCTTTGATTTTTTTCTAAATTATACTTTTTATAACAAATCACCTTTTCCAATTATACAGGCCGCCCAATGTTTCGAAAAAGTATTAAAAATTCAGCCAGGCAACTATGAAACCATGAAAATTCTTGGATCTCTCTATGCCAATTCAAATTCGCAAACAAAACGTGACATGGCTAAGGCACATTTGAAAAAAGTCACCGAACAATTCCCTGACGATGTTGAAGCCTGGATTGAATTGGCTCAAATTCTAGAACAAAATGATTTACAAGCCTCGCTCAGTGCCTACGCTACAGCTTCGAATATATTAACGGAAAAAGTTAAAGTTGAAATACCAGCAGAAATCCTCAATAATGTTTCGGCTTTACAATATCGCATGGGCAATTTGAAAGTAGCAAAAGAACGTTTAATGGAGGCATTGGAACGGGCAAAATCCGAAGCACCAAATGATACACAATATTATGATTCGATATCGGTGACCATGACATATAATTTGGCACGTTTAAATGAGGCCATGAGCAGTTTTGATGTGGCCGATAAATTATATAAAGATATTTTAAAGAAACATCCCAACTATATTGATTGTTATTTGCGTTTGGGTTGTATGGCAAGAGATAAGGGTTTGATTTTTGTGGCATCCGATTTCTTTAAGGATGCTTTGAATATAAACAATGATAATCCAGATGCCAGGTAAGGAGTTAGCTAATTATTTTTGTTTATTTATATAATAAACTTGTTTATTTCCAGATCTTTATTGGGTAATTTGCATTTGGCCAAAATGCAGTTTGCTTTGGGTCAGAAAAATTTCGAAACTATTTTAAAGAACCCGGCTACATCACAAGATGCTTATTCTCTCATAGCTTTGGGTAATTTTTCATTGCAAACTCTGCACCAGCCCATTAAGGATAAAGAGAAAGAAAGAAAACATCAAGACAAGGCATTGACCATCTATAAACAAGTTTTACGCAATGATCCACGAAATATTTGGGCAACTAACGGTATAGGAGCTGTTTTAGCCCATAAAGGTTGTGTCATCGAAGCTCGTGATATATTTGCTCAAGTACGTGAAGCTACGGCCGATTTCAGTGATGTCTGGTTAAATATTGCCCACATATATGTGGAACAAAAGCAATACATCAGTGCCATACAAATGTACGAAAATTGTATGAAAAAATTCTATAAACATCATAATGTTGAGGTGATGCAATATTTGGCTCGGGCTTATCTAAGAGCCAATCGTCTTAAAGAGGCCAAAATGGTGTTACTTAAGGCCAGAAGAGTAGCTCCACAAGACACGGTAAGTTTGCAATTCAATTAACAAATATTTTGTTCATAAACTATTGCTATTTCTAGGTCTTGTTATTCAATATTGCTGTCGTTTTGCAACGTTTGGCCATGGCTATATTGAAAGATGAAAAATCCACATTGGAAATTGTATTACAAGCTGTACATGAATTGGAATTGGCACAAAAGTGAGAGATTGTTAATTTTTGTAAAGACATTTTTTTAAATTTTTTATTTACTTGCAGATACTTCCAATATCTTTCGGTTCATGGCGATAAGACTCGTTTCAATATTGAGGTGGCCGGTTTGGAGGCCAATCAATGTCAAGATTTATTGTCACAAGCTCAATATCATGTCTCTAGAGCACGTCGCATTGACGAAGAGGAGAAAACTCTTAAACGCAAACAAGAAGAGGAACGTTTGGCCTTTAAAATGCGCCAAGAGGAAGAACGTAAACGTCGTGAAGACATGCTTAAATCATCACGTGAACAAATGTTGGCCAAACGTCAAGAGTATGTTGAAAAGACCAAGAATTTAATTATGACACTCGAAGTACCACAGGAAAAAGAACGCAAAAAAGGTAAATTATTCTAATGATAAATTAATTATTAATTTTATATTTATATTCTAACTTGTTTCACTTTTAGGAGGAGGAAGACCGCGCAAGGATGATATTGTTACTGATTCAGATGGCAGTGATGCTCCTAGAGAGGGTGTAGAACGTCCACCCAAACAAAAGAAGAAAGGTGGTGGTGGCCGTAAACGCAAGGCAGTTAATTATGATAGTGACAGTGATGGCGGCGAAGGACGCAAAGAAAAGAAACAAAAGAAGAAGACAAAACTTAGCAAAAAGGTGGAGGAAAAACTTTCCGCCAAACAGCGTATGAAGATCGTTTCTAAAGCCACAATATCCACCAGTGAATCGGATAGTGATGGCGGCGGTAGTGGAGCTCCCAAACGTAAACGCAGTATCAGCCGTTCCGGTAGTGGCAGCGGCAGTGGTAGCGGTAGTGCTTCAGATGCCAGCGCCGGCAGTGTTAAACGTTCACGCAAACGCATAGTCTCTGGCAGTGATTCAGATCGTTCAAAATCCCGTTCAGTTTCAAGATCTCGATCACGTTCTCGCTCTAGATCACGCTCCAAATCAGGTAGCCGTTCTCGCAGTCGTTCCAGATCAAAATCCGGCAGTCGTTCACGTTCTCGTTCGGTTAGCCGCTCTAAATCCCGTTCTAAATCTGGTTCCAGATCACGTTCAAACTCAAAGTCCGGTTCGGATCGTAGTCGCTCAGCTACGCCAGAAAGTAATTAGATTTATGCGTTTTAATATTGAAATATGTATGTAGAGTTTTCTTTTTTTTTTTAAATCTCTTAACTTAATACACACTACTTTATATTTTAAATAAATGTTTTTTTGTTTGAATACAAAAAAAAAAGTTTATTTTAAAAATGCATTTTTAATAACAAGCTTTTAAAGCTAAAAGGAGAAGAACAACATCGAATATTCGAACATAATTTTCAAATGTCATGAAGTGTATGTGTTTATGAATGCCGAATTTCAGCTTATTTGTGCTATTTAATCAAATTCATTAGAATTATTTGAATTTTAAGTTTTAATAGCTTTTTAATAAGCTTTTATAATTTTCCCTATCCCAAGTTACGCTTGCAATATTTAAATAAAACTTAAAAATATTTAAATTGAATAAATAAAATAAGAACGTATTTTTATTCTAGGCAATTCCATAGAATTATGGTTTTGGTTTAACCCAGTAAATAAATATATTAGATTGTGTCAAGTGACTTGCGTACTTTGAAATTATACCTGAAAATAATAGGGTATTCAGTTATATGAGTTATTTGCAAACACATTCCAAAACTTAGTTTATTTTTATCCCAAATTCCTTAGTTTATTTTTATCCCAAATTGGTTTGAAAATAGACGATATAAGGAAGTTAAATTTCAATATAACCCAAAAATGTTTAATGGAAACTGCTCATAATATGGAACAATTAAAAGATGTGGTACACAAAACGACAGTTATCTGATTCAAACTCCAGCCAGTCTAAATCAAAATGAATCTGTTTCTAAAGGAATTTAATACATATTCTAAATTCCGTTATTTTTAATAATGTTTTCATTTTGGCCCTTTTACTCTGGGTAACCACGATTAAAAGTCTCCTGGGTACCCTAACCGAGAATGTACATAGACATATTTGCTATGTATGTATGTATGTATATGATGTCGTAAAACTTCTAAGGGAAATAATCCCTATGCTGTGCTCAATAGAGAGAACTGAATATTAAAGGAATTTCGCAATTCCCATAAATTAAAAATATCAAAAAATTGGTCTGGGAAAATACTCTGGGGATAATTAGGTAATACATCTAGGTGTTGTTGCTCCTGCAGCATTTGTGGGATCCATTTTCAAAATTTAAACTCAATTACTCCTTCGCTACATTAATGTCAAATTTTATCCCAATCAAACCATCCGTTTTTAAAAGTCAGATTTATTTCCAAAAAATGTTGACTCTACTCCACTGTATATACATCCTCCTCTTAATCTAAACTAAGTTTCCCATATATATAAATCTGAATAGATTTATTTTTCTGGACATTTTTTTTTTTAAATTGAAAAATATGTAGATCCATTTCTATGTATTTAGCTACATACATACAGACATACATACATATGTCCTGTTTTACAACCATATTGTTAACTGGGTTAATGACTCGTGCCTTTCAACTGCAATATGCAAGCTGGCAAAAACTAAATTCAAATACAGGTCGTATATACTATAGATACGGATAGACAAAATTTCCCTATATAACACACAAATATTACAAAATGTACTCATTAGTCTTTTGACTTCAAACAACATAACAAGTGTAACGAAAAACTCATAAATATTTCGTGTGTTCTTAAAGGGGAGTTTTTAGACCAACAAATACATACACACTTAACAAAGAAGAAAATTTTAAATTGTGCTAAAGGAAAACTTTAAACCAGCAAAAAAATGGCCAATTTACCATTTGTATTGAATTTTGATCCACATCCATTCTATAATCCAGACATATTTCCAAATAATGTCTATCGTCGTTTGCATACGAGACATCAGCATCCCATTGATATGCATACTATGGGTTTGATTTCAGCACTGGCTCCACACATCCGTCATTTGGAGGCGAATGGCAAGACCAAGGATGAAATGGCTCATGTACCAATGAAGGGTGCTACCAATGATAAAGATCATGATTTTGCCATACACATTGATGTGGGACTCTTTCAGCCAGAGGAATTAAATGTTAAAATTGTCAATGACCATGTAATCATCGAGGGTAAGCACGAGGAACGTGAGGCTGATGATATAGGTTTTGTTTCACGTCATTTTAGGCGTCGTTATGAACTGCCCAAGGGCCACAACCCGGATGCTATAGTCTGTAAATTGTCCTCGGATGGAGTATTAAGCGTATTATTGCCTAAGTCTACAGAAGAACCAAAAGAACGTATTATACCCATTCAGCAGACGGGACCAAATGATTTGTTTCTAAAGAATAAGACGGAAAATGGCGAAAAGGATAAAATCAATAATGGTGAAGAAAATAAGTAAATAGAATGAAGCAAGGGCTTGCTTATATTAAAATTTTTTACTCATTCCTAAATGAAAAAAATCAATTAAAGTATTCGCAATTACATTTAGCATGGTGTTTACATACACACATACATATGTAATACAAATATAACAAACAACTTTAACATCTTTAAGGGGTCTGATTTTCAAAGGATAATTGAGACGCAGTTCATTAAAAACCCCACACCCTCCTTAAACGTAATACATACTAAGAAAAAGAAATAGAATAATTTATAACCAACAGAATTCTAAGAAAAGGAAATGACATAAATTAAGCCAAATTGTTCAAACGAAAAGACACCCACAATTTTCACCTTTTAGTAATATAATAAGGAAATTAGATCGTTTTTTAAAAGCTAAAGAATGAATGTGAAAAATAGAAAAACGGACAAAAAATATAATAACGGAAGCCACATTCATATACAAACATATTTCTTCCATCTAAAAGTATGCTATATATTAAGTAAATTTAATTTAAATGAGAATATTACAAAGAAATCTTCCTCCTAAAAGTATACTATTTCCAAATCAATAGCAAATGTCCAACACTGTTATAAATGTAATTGCGTTAAACTAGAATAACAAAAAACTTTTATTTAAAAATAATTATTAAATACTTGTCGGTATTGCAAAAAAATATGTGCAATTCATTTTTTTCTTAATCCAAAACGTAACCTAAGACTCAATTTTATTGATGTAATATCAATGTTTATTTACTAATAAAACTAAAGACTCAATTTTATAAATGTAAACATTTATTAAAAATAATAATGCCAATACAATTATTGTCATTTGATCCATTATAATCTATTTGTGAATTATAAAAATGAATCCAATTTAATATTTTACTAATTCATAAAGATTTTAATTGCATTCTTTATATAAATAAATATGTACATTTATAATTATGAATATTATAAACGAATAAAAATACATAAATATGATGGCTAAATAAAGAATTTTTTATTGAATTTTGGGAATTTGGTAGATTTATATCTTTTAAATGATATTTACTTACGAGCGACCACAATATAGTCCAGAGTAACGTCTAGACTACATATAGGTAAAAAATAAGATTTTCAATTCTTACGACGAATAGACTATAATAATGACTATAGAATATACTATAGTTTAGTCTATAGAATGGACTTAGTAGGCTATAGAATAGACTAGACTTGATGATAGAATAAAATTCAGTTCCCACTATAGAATATACTATAGATTAGACTAAAGAACAGACTAGAGAACAGACTATAGTCCAGACTATGGAATATAATATAGTCTAGTCTGGATTATAATCCAGACTATAGAATTTAATATAGAATGGTCTAGTCTAGACTAGAGAGCAAACTATATGAATAGACTATAGAATACACTGTAGTTTAGATTATAGAATGGACTATAGTCCATACTATAGAATAGACTATCGAATATACTATACACAAGACTATAGAATGGACTAAAGTCCAGACTATAAAATGTACTGTATTCCAAACTATATAATATACTATATTCCAGACAATAGAATAGACTATCATCCAAACTATATATGTATATATCGTCATATGAAATCCAAAAAGCCCTAAGTTACAAAAAAATCAAAATTGACTTTTTGATTGATTATGATGCACCGTATCAAAATACATGTTCCTGCTAAATTTTACACTCCTACAATTAAAATCAACGTCCCTATCAAAGAAATTCTAAAAGGTTATCTTCTAAAATTACCTTAAAATTCATGAAAATTTTAAAATTCTTTTGAATTTTTAACTTCGAAACTGTGAAATGTTATAAGTTGAGATTATTTTATCAGTTTTAGAATTTTTTCAAAGAAAAATTCCAATTTCCTAAAATCTTTATGAAAACAAAGAAGCCTTATGCCTTCCATGTTTCGGCCTATTTGACCAACAAAAACCGATTAGAATTTAGTTGAAAATGTTAAAACTAACTATTTTTTAATGTAACTTAGGGCCTTTTGGGTTTCAGAAAAAAACAAATTCTCAACCGCATAAGTTTCATATCTCCGTAAGTAAAACAAAAACCGCAAAGTTTTCTTCAAATAATAATTTGTCAATAAGAAATAAGCTTAACTTGAGAAAATGTTGAACATTTTTGGTTTATTTATCATTTTATACGGTTTTTTGCTTCTCCTGAAAAATTTGTTCAATGTGACTTAGGGCTTTTTTGGATTTCATATGACGATATATACTATTTCGAAGACACTCTTAGAGTCTCGACAATCTATAGTCGTCTATATTGTTTATAGTTAAATGCCGGTGCTATATGTGGTATATATAATTGATTTATATTCTAGATTATTATCTGGTCTGCAACATGGACATAGTCGTGTTTACATACTAGACTATAGACTGACTTTGCCATAGCTTTAACCATCAGTGGCTTTTAGTAACAATCTCTAACTATGTATTAACTAAACCAAAACGATTGCTTTATTTAATTAAAACAAATAAAATAATTCTTAAATATTTTGCATTTGTAAAAATTCTCGTTTTTTTCGCTCACGATCTTCCATTTTTTTACGCTGTAACTCTAACATTTTAGCGCGCATATTTTGTAGTTCCTCCTTAGTACTATCCTTTTTAAGGGGAATAACATCAGTTTTAGACAGCGACTGTGTATTAAGATTTGTTGCTTGCGGTTTAGGTAATAACTTTATATATTTTGTAGGAGCTTTTTCAACTGGCATGACTTTATCTAGAGGCCTTTGTGCGATTAACAATTGATTTAAGTCTGTGGTAGTAGAATTATTTTCATTGGATCTATCCATTGCAATTGGCACTGTGTTATGTTCCTTATCCAATAAATCCGGGTTACTAGAAATTTTAGTTGGACTTCCCTGTTGTGTCATTTTTGTAAGAACTTGTAGCAATTCCTTATGGCGTCGTTCACGATTTTGCTCACGTATTTCATTGATTTCCAATAATGTATTTCTTATGGTTTCGCCTAGTGCATGCAAGGCGCTGGAGGTTGTTGTCGACTGTCTTTGATGCTGAATATGATTTTCCATTATATTACAAATATCCGTGCCATCGGCAACATGATCGTCATCATCACTGGTAACAATGTCCTGAGCCACAGCAGCCAATACCCTTTTACGTTTTGCTGCAGAGGGATGTTCTTCGGAATTTGACATTCTGTGATTGGTCATACTATGTCGTGAGATCCTTGAAATAGTTTAATATTATTAGTAATCCATGTATTTCTACATACGTTGCGTTGTTTAAAAATAAAATGTACCCAATTGTGTTTTCATGGTTTTGTTTATTTACTTTTTGTTGTTATAATTTTGACATGTTTTTGTTATAGCATATCTGGGAGTTAATTAACATTATATTTGATCTTCTGCCCATGCAAAATATTTTTAATTTATTTATTTTTAATAAAATATTTTAAAATTGGAAAATTGTTAATTTCTATAAAACAAGTTATTCAGGTATCACTTACAAGATACATCAAAAATTTAATAAAATCAAATGTTAAAAATATTTGCACTTTTTAAACATGTTAATTCTGTTAAATCCACAGGTGCGCGTCTAAGGGTTAAATAATATATAACGACTCTGTTTTAACACTTTAAGTGTTGATAATTCAAATATATTTTGCTATTTTTCACAAATTGAGCTTTTATTTTAACCCTTATGTTGTACCTAAAACTATTTTTAACATATTTTTAATTGTTCCCGGAAAACTTTATTATAAGTTCCAAATAGTTGGAGAAAGGCGTGATAAAATCGTCATTCGTTCGATTGTGCCGTTTTCAATACAGTATTTGTACAGTTATATCTTTAAAAGTTTTTCATATAACAGAAAGGCCGCATTTATTTCATACAATGTATTATAAAAATCGCAAAAAATAATAAAAAAAAAAATTAATACTTTTATATACAAAAAGAGCAAATACCAATATTTTATTAGTTTCTTTTCGAAAAAAATTTGAGTCAAAAACTTGTAATGGAATTTTTACATATATTTACCCTAAATCTAAATCAATATGACTAGATTTAATTTATGTAGGATTAACACCTTTCTGTGTCAAAGTATTATCCTCATAGGTCTCCAAAACATCAGCCAAATGTTCGTTGTCTCTGGGTTTTTTGAATTGTCGCTTTTTATTGGCCACCTTTTTACGTTTAGGTACAGGTTTCTTGGGACCATGATCTTGCATAGAACGTATACCTTGTTTTTCCAAATACTCGTCAATTTTGGCATCATCCATAGCATCAACGGTGGCGGAACGCCAAAGTTTTTGAAATTCTTCATCAACCTTTAAAACAAAACTTTATTTATGTTATTCGTTTAGAAAAGCAAATTTTGTTAAACTTACGGCAAAATTAGCTGTACGATCATTGTAAAATAAAATCTTCTTTTTATCTATAGGTCTAACAATAAAAATAATTTCTGAGGCACGATTCTTTAAAACCTTTTCGCAGTGAGGCAGCGACTCTTGCACATCTTCCATAAGAATTCCACCTAAACCTTTGAGATCATGTTGCTTTAGTAAACGCAGCAAACTTTTACCATCTTTTATTTTATATACGGGTTTAAAGCTGAAACGCATACCATCCGGAGTAGCCTCGATTTTGGGATTGTTCATTAGAGCCTCGCTACCCAACCACTAGTTTTAAAAATTTATGTACATATATATAATTCTATTTTGGATATTTTAAACAAACTTACATTTTTAACCGATTGTCCTACATCCAATTGATTTGTTTCATCCAAAATTTCCTCCAATGTTAAGGGATGATCATCACCATCCTGATGTCTGGTACGCATATGTTTCACAATTTTAGCTAAAACACCAAATCTGTATTGTGAACTACCGGCCATGGTTTTGTAAGTATTTGAATCCAGCTTAGGGGCTGTAGGTGGGCGCATTTTCTTTTTGGCATCATCTTTTGGAGGAGCTGTTACAGTTTCCACCTTGGGCTTTTTCTCCACACTTTTAAAACGTATTAGTGCATTAGGATTATTAGCTTGTCTTTATAAAGAAGTAAATACTTACGTGGGAGTGGCCATGGCCCTTTTTTTGAACGCCTCGCGTTCTCTTAGCAAAGCTGGATCCATTATTTTGTTTATTTATTAATTAATTATTGCTAAAAACTATTAAAATCACTATTTTTGTAAATTTTCTGGAGACACGGGTTTTTGACCAAAAAAGAACTAAACAATCATATGGAATTGTTTTGAAAAAAATTTTAGAGAAACAAAATAAACAAGAAACATTTTTAGAGTTGCCACTATTAACATTAATAAAATTAACCCTCAAGAGAGAGTTGTACCAATTAGAACACCCATTCACTAAATTGAAACTTCAAATGTAGTTAGTTCACGAATCGAAAAAATTAAGGTTTTAATAGTAAAAAACAAACTAATCACTTAGATAACGAAATGAGTAAGAAACTTTGAAAAACTTTAAATTTATATTGGTTTAATACAATATAGGAAACCAAAGTGCTATTATATGAACTATTGTAGATTAGTTTACGGATCCAATATAGGATCTTACTTACAAAAAATAAAAAGAAACAGTAAATTATTTCAAATAATAAAATATGTTGCTCGAATACAATTTTACTTTTATTATTTTATATTTGTATTTGCACAAATTGTCTTAAATTCCATTATGACTTTTTTATTCAAATTTAAGTTTTAGTTGTATTATGTAGAGCTAAATTTGTTTAAGCTTAATTTTTTTTAATACTACCAGGGCATTGCCAATTACAATAGTGAGATTACATGAATATTAGTTTTATTGTGATTTAATATGCAACTTAGTAATATTTAAATAGATGCACAGTTAATTAGTTTAAATAGACTTTTTTTAAAATGTTGATTGGTTATGTTGTATTATTTAAAGATATAATTTCGCATTATTCATTTTTGTTACTATTTACTCAGCCCAGACCTCCTCATCACGTCCAAATTTATAGGTAAGACTGGCAAATAATATTAGAAAATTTTGCATAAGCAAAGCCACACCTAAGCTGGAGTCTTTTTTAGCTGAAAATGAAATTAAAATTTAAGAAAAATGTTAAAACTTAAGACAATTAAAAATGCGTTTTTCAAATTCTACAAACTTTTTGTCTATATCTATCTATCTATCTATCTATCTATCTATCTATCTATCTATCTATCTATCTATCTATCTATCTATCTATCTATCTATCTATCTATCTATCTATCTATCTATCTATCTATCTATCTATCTATCTATCTATCTATCTATCTATCTATCTATCTATCTATCTATCTATCTATCTATCTATCTATCTATCTATCTATCTATCTATCTATTATCTATCTATCTATCTATCTATCTATCTATCTATCTATCTATCTATCTATCTATCTATCTATCTATCTATCTATCTATCTATCTATCTATCTATCTATCTATCTATCTATCTATCTATCTATCTATCTATCTATCTATCTATCTATTTGTCATTGTAATATATATTTAGTTGAGACCCTTATCCGATACTTACGATTGTTGATGAAATCATCAATCATTACCCAAACTGCAGCAATAATGGAGGCAAATCCCATAACGAAACCTATTAAAAGCCAAATTTTTGCAACTCTGGCACCAGATTCCGATGTGTTATCCTCAGATATCTATTGGAAGAATAACATTTATTTTTGTTTATAATTATAAGACAAACCTACTTCCATAAGAACTTACATGCGAATTCTTTACTGTATTAACCATAAAGAAACTTAGCGTACCAAAGACACCAATAAAAACTTGGCCCGTAGTTATTTGATGTTTTTCATCGACAGACATAGCATCGATTAATGTCCACCATCCTGCAAAGAACTAATGATACAATTTTTTAATATAAATATTATAGGTATTGTTTTCGTTTTCAATTTGTTTTGTACCAATAAACCAGCAATTAGTGAAGAATTTTTGTTGCGGGCCGTTTCCGATGTAAACCAATATTTAATATTTTCCAATATACTCATTTTTTAATAAATATTAATGAAAATTCTAAAAATTTGCAAAACTTTTTTCTCTTTGTTGTTGACTAATGACCTGACCTCGGCGCCGACAAATATTAACGTCGTCGGTGGCTGACTGTCAGTGACGGCTTAAAATGTCGGCCAATTAAGTTTTCAGGTATCGTTGAAAATTTAAATGGGAGTACATATTCGAAATTCCGGTACCAAAAGACATGCTCTACAACTAGTACTTTATGAATTTTCTCTAATGTTGAGACTAGAATAGTAAAATCAAACTTTTACATTTTCATTCTTCCACCATTACTTTTTTAATTTTCTGCAGCGTTCATAGAAAAATATATGAAAATCAATAAAAGTAGACTTTCTTAAAATCGAATAAATGGACATTCTGTGTTCTGCAAATTATTTGGGTTTGTCTGATATGAAATTAAGTTCGGATTTGTATTTATTAATTCCCGATTTTATATAGACAATTTAAAATATCCCCATTTATGAAATATTTGCTTCCATTTTTATTTAATATCGTTGAAAATTTAACTTTAAGCATATATACAAATTTATTAGAAATACATCTTTCACAATAGGTTTATGTATATTTCTTCGGATTTGATGTACATATGTATGTATGTATATAAGTATTACGTTTACAACTGGTAATTTATATGGTTTGTATAAAATTTAATGAAATTATGCATATAGAGGCTCTACATGCATAGGAATATATGAGAATCTATAAAATGGGACTTTGTGGTTTTTTTCGTTTTTTTTTTTTTTTTTTGAGTTTTCTGTACAATTTAATCCAAAAACTTAAAAATTATAAAATGAGATTTTCTGGCGGCGGTTTTGAAATTTCTTCGGCGGCTAGATTATTCGGCTTTAAGCGAATCAGCGCAGGTCTCTTCTAATAACAAAATTCTTCAGGAACGTAATGGAATTGAAATTAATTTTTGTTTATAACAAAATAATAGTTGCCAGATGAAATAAGTACAATAAATTTCACAAAAAGTCGATAATTTGTAGTATTATTATATTTAAAATATGAACTTTCGAATCAAATCTAGATCCATGTATTTTCTGCATATTAAATTTTTTTATTTAGATGTAAATAATACATCTTTTAAAATCTGATTTTTAACGCACCTAGGCTTTAATTGAGGTTTCATCATTATTTTAAATGTATTTATTTAAAATAAGTTATTTTAAATAACGTTTTCATAGCTTACCTCAAATAAAATATTTTTTAACAAAGAAAACGCCAAATTAGTCATAATGAAAAATAGAGATGACACTTCAGCGGCAGTCAACTGTCAAAACATTTCTGAAGTTTATTGAAAACAACACGTGCAAGGAATTGTGTACATTTTTATTAATTGGAATATTTTAAAACACATAAAAAATACAGAAATGAAACGTAAATTTGTAAAGCCAACCAATGTCCCCGAAGAAGAGTCTTCAGAGGATTACGATTCGGATATTGAAGCTGAGGAAGAAGAAAGTGTTGTTGATAGTGAAGAGGAAGAAATCGGCGAAAGTGATGAACATGATTCGGAAATTGGGACTGAGGAAGGAAGTGTAGTTGATAGTGAGGAGGAAGAAGCCGACGAGAGTGATGAAGAAGCTTTAGATGCCAGTGACACAGAATCCGATGAAGATGGAAGTGATATTGAGGACAATAAACCACCAAAATCAAGAAGAGAAATAGTCAAAGAAGAAATAATGCAAAGATATCAAGAACGACAGGGCAAGCAATTGTACATACGATTCCCACACAAAGTTCCTGAAACTCAAGAAGCTTTGGAGGCGAAGATTAAAGAACTCACACCCTTAGTAGTTAAGGTGCACAAGCCACGTCAGAGATACGTACGTTTCTGTTTAGTCGATTTTGCCACAAATGAAGATCGTAATACTGCTCTGAAGGAGCTTAAAAAATCCATCAAAAATGGCACCCTAGAGAAATATGTCGTAAATATACCACGTACAGAAAGCTCTGAATTTGTCAGTGAATTGGCTGAACGTAAACTAAAATCAGTTGAAAACAAAAAAGCTAAATTGCGTTTGAAGAAGGCCAGCAGGAAGGCTTTGACAGAAAACCACTTTACATCCTCTATAATTGTTCTAAATCTACCGAAAACGGCATCGGCTTTAGAGGTACGTGAACTTTTCCCTGGCGCTGTAGACATAAACATTAAGCCGAGCAAAGGTAAAATGTACAAAGATAAAAGTGTTGCTGCTATTACTCTACCCACTACTTTGGATGCTAGAAATGCTGTTAAGAAAAAGTTATCTTTGGGAGGCAATCAACTGATTATCAAATTCGATAATCAAAAGTTAAAGAAAAAGAGCAAGAAATTTAACAAAAAGGTTGGCTTAAAACCAGTTACAGATAAAACTGAAGTCAAAAATATAGAAGAATCAGAACCTAAAGAAAATCAACAAAAGTTGGAAGCAACACCAGATAAAGCCACAAACGGTGAAACTTTAGCGAGGAAAGTTCCAGTAAAGAAATTGAATAAAAACGAGGATTCAAAACCAATTGCAGATAATATTGAAGTTAAAAACGAAAAAGATTCGGAACCTAAAGTAAAGCAACAAAAGTTGGAAGTAACTCCAACTAAAGCCACAGTGGGTAAAGTTTTAGTGAAGAAAGGTCCACTAAACAAAAATCAAAATAATAAATTTAATAAAAATAATGGTAAAAATACACCGAAAAAAGTAACGAAATAAAAATGTTAGTAAAACAAGGAAAAATGCGTTTTGTTTAATTAATAAAAATATATTAAAAAAAAGTGAGGTAATAGGTGTAGAAAAAATGCGTTTTGTTTAATTAATAAAAATATATTAAAACAAGTAAGAAATTATAGTCGGGCGAGGCCGACCATATAATACCCTACACCTTTGACAAAAATATAATGTGATTTAGTTGCCATAATAAAGCAATTAAGTTGAATTGTCCCTTGCCTTAGATATACATACTTAAGCCGTTTATTGTTGAATAAAATTGTGGACATTTAAGTGAAATATTGATGGGGGCTTTTCATAGGGGCTAGGGTCATATGAGAACCTATTATTATGGAATTCGTGCGGGTCATCAAGTCTTGTATACAACTTGGTTTTTGCAGCTTTTTGTCGAGAAATGAGTATATTAAACATAATTATGAACTTAAAAGCCCTATTCGGCGGGTTCAGCTGTATGGGGGCTAGGTGAAATAATGGACCGATCTTAACCATTTTCAATAGGCTTCGTCTGCGATACCATAAAAGATCATGTGCCAAATTTCATTGAATTATCTCCAAAATTGCTACCTGTAGGTTGATTACAAGGTTTAAAAGCCCTATTGGGGGGTTCAGTTGTATGAGGGCTAGGTGAAATTATGGACCGATGTTAACCATTTTCAATAGGCTTCGTCTGCGATACCATAAAAGATCATGTGCCAAATTTCATTGAATTATCTCCTGTAGTTTGATTACAAGCCCTATTGGGGGGTTCAGTTGTATGGGGGCTAGGTGAAATAATGGACCGATTTTAACCATTTTCAATAGGCTTCGTCCCTGGGACAATAGAAGATCATGTACCAAATGTCATTGAATTATCTTCAAAATTGCGACCTGTAGTTTGATTACAAGGTTTACATGGACGGACGGACGGACATAGCTAAATCGACTCAGAAAATGATTCTGAGCCGATTGGTATACTTTAAGGTGGGTATAGGACCAATATTATTGTGCGTTACAAACATCAGCACAAACCCAATATACCCTCCCCACTAAAGTGGTGTAGGGTATAAAAAGTGAGGTAATAGGTGTAGAATTTTCACCACACATAAAATTTACATTAGCTTGTTATTGCAAGGATGTAGTTCGTTTTTGACAACTTGGGAGGATATTATGCGTTTGTGCTGATGTTCGTAACCCCCAAAAATATTGGTCCTATACCCACTTTTAAGTATACCAATCAGCTCAGAATCATTTTCGATTATGAGTCTATTATGCTATGTTCTACTATCCGTCCCTCTGTGTGTCTATGTAAACCTTGTGCGCACGCTACTAATTTGGCAATTAGGCCTCTTTTGTTCCAAGGGCGATCACTATTGAAAATGGTTGAAATGGGTAATTTATTTCACCTAGCCCCCATACAACCGGACCTCCAGAATAGGGCAGATCATAATTATGTTAAATGTATTTATATATCTATAAAAATCGGGAAAATTATAGTAAGTCTAAATGACACTGCCAATTTTTGTAATGGTCGGTCCTCAATTGGCCCTAGGCCCCATACAAAGTTCCCTTCTGAAAATGACTTGAAGTTAATGAACTCACTTATAAACATTAGTACATATCCCGATAACTTTATTGTTAACGTAACTCCCTCTATCAATATTTATAAAGATAGGCCCTTGTTTACCCTTGTCCCCGTATAACCCCTCTTTCAGTTTTTTGTCAACAAATCCTTTTTTCTAGTTCTATATTGAAAACAACAAATAAATTAGAAAAATTGTTGTTTCCAATATAAATAATAATTACAATAAAATAAGAAAGAAATATTCGTTCACATTTAGAGGCATAGGCAGTAGGTTTTTATACACTTACACCACTGAATCCGAATCTGGCCTCAGAATATCATCATATCTGTGATATGGGATTTCGTGTCCTGAGATATTATCCCTTGAAGTTAACGGACGGTCAGATACCGTTATGTCGAATCAGAAAGTGATTTTGAGTCGATTGCAACATCCTCAGATAGGTTTGTTCGTTATAAACAATATTTCCAAAGCATAATACCCTTCGCCTTATAATAGTGTAGGGTATGAAAACAATGAATATGCCGAAAGCCATAAGTTTTCAAGCTTTTGGTAAAGATATCTTCTAATACAAAGAAGTTATGTCAAATGTTATTAAGTCTGTTTTTCAAAGCTGGCAGAATGGACTTTCAGATGTCATAGAACATTTTATAAATGAAGTCTTGGCGCTGCGTCTCAAAAATAGCCAAACATAGCGTTTTTTTTTTAATTTCAGGACACGATATCTATAAAAAAGATATCTAAAATCACGAGTTTTCAAGTTTTATGTGAAGATATCTCGAAGAACAAAGAAGGTATGTCAGATGTGAAGTCTTTTATTTTAAAGATGACAGAATGGACTTTCAGATGCCGTATAACATTATATAAATAAAGCTGTATTGGAGCTGTTATAACGTCTCAAAAATAGCAAAAAGTTGCGTTTTTTCCAATTGCAGAACACGATATTACAAATCCCAGATGTGAAAATCTAAGGTCAGATTCGGATTTAGCGTAGCTCAATCCTTTAGAAACGTATAACTTGATCTCAGGGTTTCGACTTTTTTCAAATCTCTATCTATGTTATCGATTAGAGCTAAATCTTACCTATTATTCCGATTGAACAAATAACAAATTAAAATATTTAAAAGTTTTATTTAAGATTGTGTTTTATTTCATAAAATATTTTGAAAAAGAAAATCTATAATTTCATAGTTTTTAATTATTTTTGTTTTATGTTATAAAGACTACTAATTTTAGCAATAACATAAAGCATTATTGTTAGTGAATGATTGATAAACAATATGTATATATAAGTGAATTTGGGGTTCCTTTTTGGGGGGATTTTATCTGTTATTAAACATTATACATGAAGATTATACAAACATGTATTTTATTTCAAATTATTATAGGTAACAATAATAATATTTGAGATTACATTAAAAACAAAACATACATAAAACTTAAAAACTTTTTTTTTTTCTTCAAAAGCAAACAAACAAAAACACTGATATGAACAAACATAAAAAATATATAAAAAATTATCGCTTATTAAGCAAATTCTTGAAAACATATACATATTTTCAATACATACATACTACACTATTGCCTTAAGGAAAGCTGTATGTAGTTATCAAAGTCTTGCAATTTTATTTATAGGCAAAATGTACACTAATGGTTCAGAAGAATTATTTATAATAGTGCTACAATCCAACATACATGTATAAGTTACATAAAATGCTGCACAAAGCAAGCAGTGATTTGTTTATATCAGAAAAAGAAAACAAAAACTTAAAAAAACTATACAGACATTGGCTCATGGCACAGGGATTTCTTATCATGAAGTTTAGCTGTGAAGAAAAAGAAAACGGAAAAAAATGAAGATTAAAATAATAATGATATCAAATTCGCAAGTATAAGCATTTTAAAAAGTAAACATTTTGTGATTTTAATACTCTATGAGTAATTTCAGTTGAGCAAATTAGTATGAAAGTATGTATGCATATCCAAAGCAAAATTAACTTTTTTTTAATAAAAATTATATTCAAATACATTGTATATTTGCATACAATAAAATACAAAGTTATAATTGCATATGTATACAAGTATGCGGTTAATTATTTTTCTTTTTTTAATTCATTTTGAAATTCTTTTAAATTTATTAAATCCGTAGAACTTTTATTTTTGTTTTTGTAACATACTATTTTGTATTTATGTATATATATAATTTATCCCTCTTAATTAAATTTAGCAATATAATAGATAAATTTTGTTTTATAATCATAATTGATAAGATTATGTTTTTGTTTTCCTTTTAAATTTAATTTAATTAATCTTTTTCCATGAAAAATTTGTTAGTATAAATTTAGTTTTCTTCTTTTTTGGGGGGTGTTGTAAGAAGCACATATTATTATTTAATTCATTCATAATAATTCTTACTTTATTTATACAAACAGTCTCAAATATGTATGTATGCTAATTATCCTGTGTGTGATAATAATCTTTTCCTGTTGCTCTCTCACATATGTATGTTGCATTATTCCTTTTGTTTTAACTTAGTTTAGTAGATTCTGGGTGTATTTTGTGTATATTTAGTAAAAGATTATACATAATTATTATTTGTTAATTTGTTAATTTCTTCAATCAATATATAAGTTCTGCAATGTATGTATGTATATTTAATAAAAAATACAAATATTTAAAGGCCCATGATGTTTTGTTTTTCGTTTGTTTTCTTTGTTCTATAGGATAATATTTATACGTACGGGTACACGTTTTTAACTTAGTTTTTTTTTTAGTACTTATGTAGTTGCTTGCTTGCATATGATGTATTCGTATGTATGAAAATTTCACTGTAGCTAGTACAATACATACGTTATAGTTGTATGTATGTTTGGTTAAGAAGATATAATAAAAGTTGAAAAGAATCTGAAGAAATATTTCTTGATGTTGCTTGTGGTAGGAAGAGTGGAGTTTTTATGTATAGAGTAGCCTTTGACGTGCTGAGGGAGATGTCTGCTGTTGCGGTTGATTTGGTGGTGGTGGGGGCGGAGAGGGTGGTGAACGCAAAGGTATTGCTGGTTGTACAAAACGTACACGTTCTGCATCAGTGGCAGCTGCATTAGAAGCAGCAGCAGCCGCTGTAGAAGCCGCATTAAATGCAGACGTAAATGCAGTGGCGGCTCAAAGGGTGTGATAGTTGCGTTCATTGCGAGCCTTGTAAAATTTGTAGGCTACCAAACCGATGGCCAATAAACCTAAAGTTAACACGATACCACCTATGAAAGAGGGTCCATCAAAGTGACCGCATGGTGGTACTGGACCGGGTTTGGGAGATGGTGAAGGGGCTACAGTTGTAGTATTAGGTGCTACTGTTGTGGTTACTGGAGCAACTGTAGTAGTAGTAGTAGTATTAGGAGCTACTGTTGTGGTAGTTGTTGTTGTATCGGGAGCAACAGTTGTTGTAGTATCTGGAGCTTTAGTGGTAGTGTCTGGTGCTTTAGTCGTGGTTGTTGTAGTATCGGGAGCTTTAGTGCTAGTTGAGGTGGTATCTGGTGCTTTAGTTGTTGTTGTTGTCTCAGGAGCTGGAGTTGTGGTATTATCTGGTTTTAATGTAGTAGTAGTTTCAGGAGTTGGTGATGGTGCTAATGTTGTTGTTGTTGTGTTTTCATTTTTAGGCGCTAATGTTGTTGTTACTTTATCATCTGCTTTTAAACCATACACGTTTGCATTAAATGGAATAAAATACATTAAATTTAGTTTTCAATCAATTAATAAAAGAAACACTGAGAACATTATAATTAAAAAGCCATTACACTAAAGTATATGCTATAAAACTTAATTTAAATCGTTTAGAATAAAAGAAAAATTAAAGAAAATTCTCTGACTCGGAGGATTTATATAATGAAATGTTGTTTTGAGATAGATGAATTTCCTATAGGAACAGTTGTTCTGAATCAGAGGACTTCTTTTGAAAAAGTTGCTTTCTGTAGGAAAGGATGGTCAGAACAAGAAGACTTTTTATAAAAAAGTTTCTCTACGTTAGACGACTTTTCTGGAGGAAAGGTTGGTTTGAATCAAAGGACCTTTATATAGAAAAGGTTGTTTTGAAATAGAGAACTTTTCTACAGAAATAGACGTTCTGAATTGGACGACTTTTCTATAGAAAAATTAACTCTAAATTAGAAACCTTCTTTATAGGAAAAGATGCACTGACTTTTCTATGGGTAAAGACGCTCTCAATTAATATAGGAAAAGTTTCTCTTAATTAAAAGTGGATATTTTGTTCTAAATTAGAGGTTTTTTCTTTAGGAAAAAATATTCTAAATTAAAGGACTTCTTTATAGAAAAACTTTCTCTGAATTAAAGGACTTCTTTAGACTTCTCTATAGGAAAATTAAAGGATTTTTTTATAAAAATCAAGACTTTTTATGAAAAATTGCTTTAAATCAGAGAACTTTTTTATATTATCAGTTTTAAGCTAATAAAATCTGTTATGAATCAGAGCACATTTCTATAGAAAGAGTAGCTTTTTAATATGAAAAATCAGTTTTGAATCAGAGGGGTTTTCTATAGGAAAAGTTGCCTTGAATAAAAGGTAATCTGTTTAGGAAACACAGGACTTCTATAAGAAAAGTTGTTTTGAACTATTCTATATGAAAAGTTACTCTGAATTATAGGAAAAGTTGCTTTGAATCGAGGGCATTTTTATTTAAAAAAAAACAATGTATTTTAAAGTTATGTTTAGCTTGATTTCATACTATTTTGTTTATTTTGACTACAATTTTTTAAGGTTTTTTATATTGAAAACAAAAAAAATTGAAAAATTGTTATTGTTTACAATATAAAATGCATTTATAGAAATAGGCAGTCACAAAAATCTGGATCATCAACGTTAAACTAATGATAATACCTATAATAGTAATAGTTGATATTCTCCCCAAAAAATCTTTTTGCAATTTATAAAACAAATTATTTGTAAGACTGCAAAAACAATTTAACCTTTGTTGCATACATTATTTTCTTTTTCGTTTAGTTTCAATTACTGTATTTATATTTATTAGATATTTCAATATTTTTCTGGAATAAATTCCAATAAATGCATTATTGTGTTATAATCTCGCGTCGTTTGAATAAATTTGTGTATGTGTTAATTTCATTATTAAAATAATCTGCGATTTTTTTTTTTTGTTCTTGTTCATATAGATTTTTTTGATTATACTATATACCTGACAGGAATATTGCAATTGTAAATATGTATTGAATGTAGGTATGTATGTATATTGTGTGTGTGTACTATATATAAATAACCCACAGCAACCCCCCAAACTTAAATTTGTTAAATGTATGCTTTGAATTATTTTTGCCGTCATTCCATATCCATTTTTTATAAATAAATAACACAATAACTTGAAATAAATTGTTAACATGAGAGTATTTTACCACCTACCTTCACAATTAAAGGGAACGACTAGGAGTCCTACAAACAGGCATACAGCAAAAAGTATTTTCGATGACTTCATTTTTCAACTGCACTTTTTTTGCTGCGTATTAAAGGGAAAAAAGTACACTTTCTTTTTTCTTGGAATAATACACAAGCACCAGAAGAGAACTGAGTTCAACAAGAAGAAATAAATTATTTGTTTACTTAATTGCAAGCACGTATAATAATAACACCAATATCAGATATTCTGTGGAGGTAGTAAACTTCTGTAGCGAAATCTAGAAAAAATAATTAAAAATAAATATTAAAAAATATGAAAACTATAAAACAAAGTATTTTTATTGCTGTTTAAAATTATGTAGAGAAGTTAAACGTACCTTAATCGTTTTGAGGAATTAATGTAATGTATTTTCTTTTCAAGTCTTAATTAAATTTTATTATAACACACAGAGAAACAACCCTATAAGAAATGAATGACCGAAACTAACACATACAAAATGATTTTACTAACACACACGCAACATTTTTTTTTATAGAATTGTCGAAAAAAAATTTAATGGATGATTCCATCAGCAATGACAGTCAAATGACCGGTAAAATGACTGTTACTGGACCCAATGTGTGGTATAGGGTTGAATTTGCATATGAAAGAATGAAACAACTACATTTTGATTAAAATGTATTAAAATTTATATTTTGATCAACAATGACAGCCAAATGACCGATCAAATGACTGTCACTGTATTACAGAGTTGTATTTTTCGTCGTTACAAATTAATTGTTTCTGCGAAAGCCAAAGATCAAGAAGCGAAAAAATAAAAAAATTACAAAGTCTTTAAATTATTAAAAATAAAGAGAATTATTATAAACTAAATTTTAAAAAAGTTCAGGAAGTGGATCAGAAGATAAACAATTCGGAGTTTAATCAATAAATGGTAACATAAATATGTACTTATGATTTTTATATTTCGATATTTATGAATACTTATGTATTTCTTTACAGACAACTTATTTCCACAAATTAATAGGAGCATCAGAGGACTTCTGCGAGATATGTAAAATGGTGAAAAGACTGGTAATTTATGTATATGATTACTATATTAATAAAATTAACAATATATATATATATATATATATATATATATATATATATATATATATATATATATATATATATTAAAATATCAATAAATTGTGTTTTACTATAAATTGGTATAGCCGTCAGATTTGACGGATATATTCATCAAGTGTGATTAGTCAACAATGACCGATTAATGCATCATTTTTTTATTTGTTAACTGTGATGGATATATCCATCAAGCATGATTAGTCAATCATGACTAATATTTATATCATCCATGATTAGTAAACAACAAAAGAGTGAGCAGCTCAAATATATGTTTTAAAGTCGATAGAATTCATAAGTGCGAGGGTGATGCAACATCACATGTACACAAATGTTTCCATCACTTTTTACATATTGCCCTTAAGAAAGTGATGGGAGCTTTGTTCTACGCAATGATGGGTATATTCTCAGTAGTGACAGTCAATTGACCGGTCAAATGACTGTCACTGTTCTTATAGGGAAGATTTCGTGTTTTTCACACAAATATTGATGACTGGTTCGAATCCAGAGCCCTGCGCCGATAAATATTAACGGCGGCGACGGCTGACACTAAAAATATCGGCGTCGGCATAAAATCGACTGTAAGCCGGCTAAGTTCTCAAATACCTTAATTTTTAAATTTTCAAAGATTTTAAATAAAAACGGAATCCGAGAGATAAAATGTGGGATTTTGTATATAATTTATAACAATAAAATAGAGCAAGCACAAAAGTTGTGTGAGAAATTGCAGGTTTGATTAATTCTTAAAAATTAAAAACAAATCCATTCATTAAGTTTTATAATGATCGGCCTATATTTTCCCAGGTATTTATTTTTGCCGCATAGTGTTATCTATATAATACAATTTTGAATAATCTAAATAACATTTTTTTTAACTTTAATATGTAATACGCCATTAAAAGCGCCTCTCAAAGACCTTTACCATGATATCAAAATTAATTATCATACCTTTACGTGAATATAAATAAAATAGGGAAAACCTTAAAAAGGTTCCTTTTTATTATTATTTGATACAGATCACTAAACATTGGTCTAAGGACACACATTTTGGGAAACGGTATCTTATAATGAACCACGAGATGAGAACTACGAGATGACAAAAATTTATTTATTTTCAATAGCTGTCGACGGTAACATGGCAGCCAGAAATCTGAATAAACAATATTTATGTGAAAAAATATTAAAAATATCTCCAAATTTTTCATAAATACTAAAATATAAAATTTTTGTTCAATAATCCCAGATTGGTGACTTTTTGAATTTAATTTTGTTCAGTTGTTTATCAGGGCGAAGTGGAAACGGTGTGGCCTTCGGTAGGTTAGTGGTTAGTGTTCTAGTCTGGTAGACCGGTGGTGGTGGGTTCGATTCCCATGGTGAAGCTATGCCCTACACATTTATTGTATCACCTTTTTAAAGTAAAGTATTACGCGATTTGCAATTTTTATTTCCTGTATATGTACTGAAATATAAACCTATATAAATACTCTGCATTGCAATTAAATAAGGGATACTGTTTTTACTGGCAGGCCACATTTCATAATTCAATGATAAGCTTATCGCAGATTTAAGTTTGTCAAATTGTAAGCAAAAGTGTTCTCGTTTGAAAAAACTAAAATAATATATTTCCGAAACCCTTTATTCGTCTTCAATACGTCAATCCAGTTAATTTTAAATATATATTTCATTCCGACGTGATACACAGATTTTAACTTGATTATTAAATTAATATCAGAAAATACATAGCGTTACTACGCGTAAATAGTCAAGGTATTTTAAAATTCAAATTTCCGCAACAACATCGAAAAAGTCCAACCTTCTTATATTATTTTCCCGAAAAATTAGCTTACATACTCAAGTCACCCCAAAGTAGAGCTCTTTTATTTAATTTCATGTTCCTAAGTTTAATATTATAGAAAATCCAAAATGTACCAGTTAAATAAGGAAAAAGTACCAGATAATAAATACTCTATTTTAAATTTCCATTCACTCAAGTCCCTGATTGCTTAGTTTCATGTTTCTAACTAATAGAAAACTTAGACAGGAGACATGTTAAGGATTAAAAAAAATCCTTCCGTTCAAAAAATCGGTAGAGTAGATCCGTGTAAAATTGGATTGATCCAAAATGGTCAGTAAAATCGTTGCTGGTAAACTGTATAGGATCTAAGGAGTGTCGCGCCAAAAACTCCTTGGAATATAGTAGGAGACATGGTAAGGATTAGAAAAAGATTATTTATAAAAATAAATTTAATAATTTTTTAATTAAATTTTTAAATTTATCATGATGATTCATAAGATGAACAAGGAAGGACAAAATATTTTCGTTTAAAAATTAATAAACAAAAAATATTATCCATTAAATAATTTAAAATCGAATTATCAACTTATTTAGACATCATTTTAAAGATATGTGTTTCTTAATTATATAACAGTTAAAAAAAATATATATATATAATAATAAGTGGATGTATCCCTCAAGAATTCGTTTTGAAAAAGCAAAAATATGGCGATAAGAACACACGGGGGTTTAGAAACTTTTTTTGAAATTAATTCAGTATCTCGGAACTGTTTGATATATCGTAATAATATTTAAAGTTCTTAGGCGCATCCAAAGTTGCGTATTTTTAATGTTCCTATTATTTATATTATACCCAGCAGTTACACTCTCTTCTTTCAAAATTTTCACACAAACGCTTGTCAAAATTAATTTTGTGATATATTTGCTAAAGAAAATAAAAACAAATTTAAAAAAATATAACTTTGTGCTTCTAGAGGGATTAGTATAATTATTTTTAAACATTTTTAGAAATTAAATTATAACGGTTAAGATGTCTATTTGATATATAAAATCTTCCGAGTCTAAAAATCGCTAAATTGTATATTTTACATAAAAATTATCAAATCTGGCATCATGATTGCATAAATAAAGAAATTGCTAGAAACTGTTATAAAAAATCACTAATTTTGCCAATAAAATAACTAAATTAGCAACACTGGCAACAAGATTTGTCAGCTGTTCTGCCAGAGAAGAATTTCCACACACAATCTGTACAATTGATAGAAAAATTGTTTATTATTGTTAAATACAGTGCAAAAAACTATATTAATAGTTTAGATTAGTAAATTGATCCAGAAAATAGTTGCACAAATAGTATAAGATAATTTAATCATTTCGTTATTAAACGAAGAAAAAAAGGTGAGTAACTATTAATATAACTTTTTTCATTGCCCCAAAAAATGTGTATGTGCCACATGGATAAATGATAACCGCTACTACTTGGAAGATGTAGTGTATACCTTCAAAGATGTTATACCTACCTTAAATAAATTTTTGTAAAAAATTTCGAATTTTCTGTTTTTGCAATAGTTTGCGGCAGTTCAAGGTCGAATTCTTCAAATACTCTAAAGTAATTTGCAAATTGTCATTGTTTTATAATTTTCTTATTGGATTTATTTAGTTCATGCAAATAAAAAAATGCTAAAAATTTATAAATTAAAAAAGTGTATTTTTTGAAAATGTTTTTATTTTTGTAAACTTTCACCTTTGTTTAATGTTGCCTCAACAAAATTTCAATCAGTGTAAATATTTACATTTTTAAAAAAATTATTTACAAAATGTGTAAATAAAATACCAGCAGTTTGGGTTAAATGAGCAGCACAAACACCTGTGGCACTTGAATATGATCGGCAGTTAAAAATTATTTATTTATTGAAGTGCTTAATTCCAGTAGATTTTATTTATTGATAATATATTTATAAATTTGTCATCACTTGGCTTTTAGATTGATTAGCTTGTTTAATATACCTACTCTTTGTCAGCAATATTACAAAATAAATCAACAAATATCGGAAGTTTTATATAACCTTTTTTACAGTAAATGATCATAGTAGTATGCAAAGAATAAAGTAGTATGTTTGTGTGTATAATGGAATGAATGTTTACTTTATACGTAATTTATGTTCAAAGTTCATATTGGTTATAAATTGTATGAATATATGGATGAATATGTATGAAATATTATTTTCTACTACATGTGTATAATAATTTACAATAGAGGTCAGTTTTTGTGAGGGTTCCATATATGAAATATATTTTAATTTTAAATTAAAGAATTGGTATGGTCTCAGCAAAATAATTATAAATTAAATATTATATTAATATTTAATTTGCTGATATTTTTTTTAAGATTATTTTACTCCGTTAAAATTAACAAATGGTATTCTGAAAAGTTTGTCGTTTTTGCAGAAAAAATATATTTACTGGAGAACTAAGAATCTGAAACAATAATGTTCTATTCTTTCACTTCCACTGCAATCGAAAAATTTATAATTATTCAAATC